AGCTTCCGCGATTCTCACTGTGAAAACCACAGTGAGAAGACGCTGAACGTCCATAGGAAAGCATTGAGTAATGCTTTCCTATGGGCGGTTTGAATGCGCACGTGGCTCTTGCCACGCATGCGCATTCGGAGCTGAGAGGCGGATCGGGGCGGAGAGATCCTCAGCGCCAAGGGAGTCCGGCACTGGAGAAAGGTAAGTGCTTAAGACACACACACAAACTCTCATGAACAGACGCATACACTAGCTAACAGACACACACATTTACTGACAGACACACACTCAGTGACAGACATACATACACACTCACTGACAGACAGACACACACTCACTCACTTACAAAACACACACTCAGTAACAGATGCACACAAACTAACACACTCAGTAACAGACACACACAGTAACACACTCACTGACACACACTAACACTAACACACACACACACTAACACACACACACACTAACACACACACACACACTAACACGCACACACTAACACACACACACACACTAACACGCACACACTAACACACACACACACACACACACACCACAACACACACACACTCACACAAACACTCTAACACACACACACCAACACTATAACACACACACACACACACACACCAACACACACACACACACCCAACACGCACACACTAACACACACACACACACACACTAACATCCACACACACACCAACACACACACACACACCAACACACACACACACTACACAAACACTCTAACACACACACACACCAACACTATAACACACACACACACACCAACACACACAGTCTAACACACACACACTAACACTAACACACACACACCTAACACACACACACACCAACACCTAACACACACACACACACATACACACACACACCACACACACACACACACCTAACACACACACACTAACACACAAACACACCAACACCCACACACCTCACACACACACCTCACACACTAACACACACACTAACACCTAACACACACACACTAACACTCTAACACACACACCCAACACCTAACACACACACACACCCAACACACACACACTAACACACATGTTCACACACTCAACACACACACACACACACTCTAAATACCACACACACTAACAACACTCTAACACACACACACTAACTCACACACTCACACACCAACACACACACACACACTCTAACACACACACTAACACACACACACTCTAACACACACACAGTAACACTCTCACACACACACTCTAACACACACACACTCACACACTAACACTCTAACACACACAACACACACACATTCTAACACACACACACTCTAAGACACACACTAACACTAACACACACATTCCAACACACACACACACACTAACACTCTAACACACACACACTAACACACACACATTCTAACACACAGACACTAACACTCTAACAGACACACACACATTCTAACACACACACACATTCTAACACACACACACACACTAACACACACACACACTTTTTTTTTAAATGTAACCCCCCCAGCCTCCCTACCTTTGGGAGAGCTGAGGGGATTCTCTGGGGTCCAGTGGTGTCACCCGGCAGGCTGGCAGGCGGGCGCGCGAGGGAGCACTCTCCCCTGAGTGCTTCCTGTTTAGCTCCCTAGTGCGCCACGTACTGATGCCGGAGCCGGAAGATGCTATGAGGAGATGCTGATTGGCCAGGGCTGTGTTTGAATCATGCTGGCTCTGCCCCTGATCTGCCTCCTTGTCAGTCTCAGCCAATCCTATGGGGAAGCACTGTGATTGGATCAGGCTATCACATGTCAGCAGACTGCTTGTTTTTCCTGAGTCTAACAGCATGCAGATTTACAGCTTCTGGCTTGAATACAGTAAGATTTTTACTATATTTAAGAGGCATGAGGGGCCCAGGGGGGCTAGATGGTAGTGTTAACACTATAGGGTCAGGAATACATGTAGTTGCACTGGTGACTATAGTGTCCCTTTAAGAGTTTCCCTTAATTAAGACGCCCCTGATGAAGTCTTAGGACGAAATGCGTAGGGTGGCAGGATTTCTTTGATTTTACTATTTTACTGCTGATTTGTTTTTCGTATGCTTCTTATCCTAATCATGTTATTACCTTTGGATATTGAAGACAACTTACGATTCTGATGGGCTTTTTTACTACTAAAATCTTGTGAGTGCAATCAAATAAAGTTATTCTTTTCGTATATACAGTTGAACACTGTGTCTTTCTATTTTACCCCTAAAGTTTTAAATTGGAAAAAAGAAGAAAAGAAGTCCTTCATTGAGATTTATATACTCCGCCTGTTTTACTCATATGTTTGTGAGTGTATCTTAATTTCTACCTTTTATGGTGATTTATTTTTCTCTACACTATTGTGGTCTCTCTTTGTTTTATATATTTTAGGTTGTGTATTCTATATTTTTATCTGTATTTATGAAGACATAGAGGAAGTCTTCACACTGCCTTTGAAGGGGTAATTTATTACTTTTATTTATTCCCCCTTTTTTCACTATTGTTTGCCACAAGGGTAAATATTGCATTTTATTTTTGCATATTTCTGTTTTTATACATCTTATATAGGAGAAAAAAACATATATTAGTATTTTCATATGTTTGAGTTTATATTATAACAAATTTATGCCGTTTTTGAAAGGCTCAAGTTTGATTAAAATTTAGAGATAAAGTGAGGTTATTATAGCTTGGAAATTTTACTTTTTTCTTTTTGCCCCTTTCTTTCTTTCTTTTCTCCTTTTAGAAGGCTTGTTACGAGGATGGAAAGAGGACTTTAAGTTTGAAGATAAGTATAATTAGTTTAATTTTTAATTTTAAAGATAAGATTTATATTAGAATATGATATTTTCAATCAGGAAAATTTGACTCAGTTTTAATATAAGAGAGGATAACCTTGTCCTTGTGTACAAGAACCTTTTATTTTTACCTAAGTGTTCCCTTATTCCCTATACCTATATATACAATTTATATTTTAAAAAAATCCCTTATTAAATTAATTTTCCTGTGTTAGATCCCACAACCTTTTCTTAATGATAATTTATTTAAATTCCATTCTATTATTAGCCTTCTATATTAATCATATTTTTGATTGTGTTGTAAAAGTCTTTAAGTGTATTTTATATTTATAATCATAAATTGTACTTCTGCAAATATATACTTACAGTTATGATAAATGATAAAAACAACTGTGGAATAGATTGTGCATATTCTTAAACATCCCCTTTATTCCTTCTATTATTCCTTCTTTACATATCCCTTTTATTTCCCCCTTCTTCTACTCCCCCTTACCATTAAGTTGTGTACTTTCTCTTCCCCCCCTCTCTTACCAACCCTTTGTCCTTTCTCTCCTTATTCTTTCCCATTTCCCTTCTTCCTCCTCTATTCTCATTCTATAAATCTTTGTTTCTTCTCTGATATTTGTACATATATATATATTTCTCTCCTTCACTTTTCTTTTACCTTAATTCACCTCCTCTATTTCTGCATCCCCTTTGCTCTAGTTTGTATTTTTTATCGACTTAAATTTCAAATCTTTAGAAAGATAGAGGGCCCCATTTGTGTGAAACATTACTATTTCTTAATAACATATCTGAAATGTTTTTCTGGCCATTTCTTATGAGTAAAACTAAGAGAAAAAAAGAAAAGAAAAAGAAGGTCTAATGATTATGGCTTAAAAGGGAATCCCCATTTTGGTTAAGTCTTCAGATGGATCGTTTATTGTGATGGTTCTATTCCCATAAAAGTTTAGTGGGAAAGCCCAATTTGTATGGGATATTCTTGTTCCTTAGTGTAATGGTCATATCTCTGAATCGTTTTTGACTATTTCTTGTGGCTAATGAAACTCTGGGAAAGTACCTCCCTGGACATTAAGGAAGGGAGGACATGACTGCTGGCAGGGATAAGGGGTTGGGTCACAAGGGGATACATTGTTACACATGGGGGGACATTAAGATGGGGAAAAAGGGGAGGGTACTCACCAGTTCCTGGGCAGAGGTGTAGTGTTGCTAGCTTCCCGCCCACCCTCCCACAAAACGTGTGTTATGATGGTGTTGTTGTTGGTTGTGTGCTGTTGTTTCTTTGTTTTGTCACAGCTCGCGGTAGTCCTGGCCAGCGAAGAGGTTTGGAAGAAAGTGCCCAAGCGGCTTGGGGAGTCGCAGCCTGCTGAGAGCTGATGGCGGGGGCAGGCTGCATTGGACTCGTGGGTCTTTTGATAGAGCTGTCTGTTGGTAATCCCCCAACAGCTGACAGGTTGTGGACGCTGGTGATAATCGATGTTAATTCTGTTAATAAAGCTGTGGCCGTTGCCCTTACCCATAAAGAAGGTGTTGTGTATTTATTGGGCAACGGGTGGTGGGAGTTTTGGTCTGGGGTCAGCAGTCAGGTGGAGATTGAATGGAACTTTGGATCCTGAGCCTTATTGTAAAGTATTTTCCTAACCAGGGCGTCTTTTATTGCACAGTTCAAAAATCGCACAATCACATCCCTTGGTTCTATTGTTTGAATATTATCTGGCTTTCGGATTCTTTGATATCTCTCAAAAGGTGCTGATCCATTGTCCTATCGGTCAAAGAATTGAGCCATATAATTCTTTAAGCACTGCTCTAATTTCTCTGATTTGATTTCTTCTGGTATTCCTTTAATTCTTAGATTGTTTCTCCTTGATCTGTCTTGGATATCAATAGTTTGAATTTCCAATTGCTTTACCTGATTCTTTAAGATAGAATTCGGAGTTTGGAGTAATTTAATTTCTTCTCGTGTGTCTTTTAAGGCGCCATCTTGCGTTATTACTTTCTGCTTTAAGTCCAGTACCTCTGATTTTAAGTCAGATATATGGGACTTAAAGTCATTGTGGATATTTTTTCATACAGTTCCTCTAATGCTTCAAGTAGGCTTTCCTGAGTCACCGTTTTATTTTTGATAGACTGAATTATTTCTGTCTGCAAGTTGAGATCTCCAATTGATTAGGAGATATCGATCTTCTATTTTGTTCTTTTTGAGGAGCCGTGTTGTATTTGGGTGGGGAAAAAAGTACTAGTTGTATTGGTTTAGTTTTTTTCTGTTTTATCAGGTCTAACCATCTCATACATTTTCTCTTTTTTGGGGGCAATGTTTTTTTTAAATTGTATGTGTTTCTCGTGATTTACTGGTTTTAACTACTTACAGGAACTCTTCCCATTTTATAATGAACTAATTGTAATGTTTGATGTTTGTAGATCTCTGTAAATTTCAACTGTTTCAGTTGTTTACTGATTAATACAAACTTTATATATCTTAACTTTGGGATTATTTGATGTTTGTATACTGGAATACTGTGGAAAGAGTATTTGCAATAGCCCTGCAATAGACCCCTGTATCCAATTATCACTTCACCACCCATACTTGTCAAACAGTAGAAAAAAGAAACAAGAGAAACTAAAAATATTGAGGATACTTGCAATACTGTGTAGGTTACTTATCTTCAAGTCTTCCTGACCCAAGACTGGAATCTGTCTCCGCCTCCACCTACAATCCCGTAATGCTGTCTGTTGCTCCGACTTAGCTTTGTTGCTTCGTGTCCGCAGTCTGATTCTGCTTGTGTCCCCTTCAGCCGCTATCTACCTTCCGCCTTCTTCCGCCATGCTGCTTCCCAGCCACATTTTCTGAATTTGTGCCCCCAAACGCGCTCCTGCAACAATGCATGACATCCTACGTCATCCCGCTCTTGACCTTTAATCGTCATTTAAACCTGTGCATGTCACCTTGTGTGTCTGTAACAAGGCCAAACATCCAAGGGTATGTAAACTTTTGATCAGGGCCATTTGGGTGATTTCTGTTATCATTATGATTTAAAAAGCAGCCAAAACAACTATGTGATAATAAACGACTTCATATGATCACTATTCTTCAATAAAATACACTTTTTCGCATGATCAGTCATATTTTCAAAATCAATGCCAAAATGTCACATTTATTGCCAGGGTATGAAAACTTTTGTTTTAAATATGTTTTTATTTCACATGTGTAATCATAGCATATATATCACGTTTAGTCATTTTGGTGCCTGCGCAGGGGCACTGCGTATTGTACATCTGGTATGAACTTGTACATGTTTAGCCATCGGGTGTGACCATTGCAATAGTATATTGTTCCTAGTATCTAGGTGGTTATTGCCGATAATTGTGCTGATATTGGAGTTGCCACCTGGTCATATTTTCGTTGAGTAGTGAGAGCATTTTTGTGGCTCAATGATTACACGTATGTGTGGTCGTGTCGGTGTAGTGTTGACGTATTTGCGTATTTCATGATGGTTTATTGGTTTATGAATGCGTCTTACCAGGCGGGGCTGGCTCTGTCTTGGTGATGGTGGTGTATGCGTGTCTGGGTAGTGTCATAGTGTATGCAAACTTTTGAGCACAACTGTACCTGCCAGAGCACTCTGATTAGTGGCTTAAACCAACCAATCGGAGTGCTCTGACCCAAATTGCAGGTTGTGGGAAGGCTTTATAAAGAGCTCAGTGTATGTGAAGCCCTTGCCGTTTGAAGATGGATTATTTTCTATCACCTGGATTTATTTTGCTCTTTTTTAGGGCTGAAAAAAAGAAGTTAAAAAAAAAAAAAAAAAGAAGACCTCTAATTGTAAGTATAATTTTTGTTTAAGATTTTCCATGTATTTAGTTTATAGCTTCCCCCTTAATTATTATTAGGCTGAGCGGGGTAGGTAGGATTTATTTTATTAAGTTCCATGAAAAAAGCCCATATAGAAATTGCACGTAGAAAAAAACTCCACTGTCATAATTGCCCACAAGAAAAATACCCACATGGAAAATTGCCCATTTGTCACTTAGGGCCCCCACCTGCTGCACATGGATGGGGGTGGGGGGAGGCAGTAGGTACCCCCCTTTGTCATTTAGGGCCTACACCTACTGCTTATTGGTATTATTATAGCACACTGTATTATAGCACAGTGTATTATTATAGCACTCTGTATTATTATAGCACACTATTATAGCACTCTGTGTTATTAAAGCACACTATTATCATAGCACTCTGTATTAATAGAGCACACTATTATAGCACTCTGTATTATTATAGCACTGTATATTATAGCACACTGTATTATTATAGCACAGTCTATTATAGCACTATTAATTATTATAGCACACTGTATTATTATAGCACACTGTATTAAAGAACCCTATATGTACATAGCACACTGTATTATTGTAGTGCGTTGTATTATTATAACACACTGTATTATAGAACCCTGTATTATTATAGCACACTGTATTATAGCACTGCATTATTTTAGCACTCTGTAGTATTATTAGAGCCCTCTGTTTTATTATAGCACATTGTATTATTAGAGCACTCTGTATTAATATAGCGCACTGTATTATTATAGCACTCTTTATTATTATAGCACACTGTATTATTATAGCACAGTGTATTATAGCACTCTGTATTATTATAGCACAGTGTATTATAGAACCCTGTATTATCATAGCACACTGTATTATTGCAGTGCATTGTATTATTATAGCACACTGTATTATAGAACCCTGTATTATTGTAGCACTCTGTATTTTTGCAGCACACTGTATTATAGCACTGTATTATTTTATCACTCTGTATTATTATAGCACTCTGTATTATTATAGCACTGCATTAATATAGCACACTGTATTATAGCACTTTGTATTCTTAAAGCACCCTGTATTATTATAACACAGTGTATTATAGCACTCCATATTAATATAGTACACTGTATTATTAAAGCTCACTGTATTATAGCACTCTGTATTTTTATAGGACAGTGTATTATAGAACCCTGTATTATCATAGCACACTGTATTATTGTAGTGCATTGTATTAATATAGCACACTGTATTATAGCACTCTGTATTATTATAGCACTCTGTATTATTGCAGCACACTATATTATAGCACCGTATTCATATAGCACACTGTATTATTATAGCACTCTGTATTAATATAGCACAGTGTATTACAGCACTCTGCATTATAGTAACACTCTGTATTATTATAGCACAGTGTACTATCGCACTCTGTATTATTATAGCACATTGTATTATAGCACTCTGTACTGTTATAGCACTCTGTATTATTATAGCACAGTGTATTATAGCACTCTTTATTATTATAGCACAGTGTATTATAGCACTTTGTGTAATTATAGCACACTGTATTATACCACCACTCTGTATTAGAGTAGCACAGTGTATTATAGCACTCTATTATTATAACACAGTGTATTATTATAGCACACTATATTATAGTAGCACAGTGTATTATAGCACTCTATATTATTATAGCACAGTGTATTATAGCACTCTATTATTATAGCACACTATATTATAGTAGCACAGTGTATTATAGCACTCTATATTATTATAGCACTCTGTATTATTATAGCACACTATGTTATAGTAGCACAGTGTATTATAGCACTCTATATTATAGCACTCTGTATTATTATAGCACACTATATTATAGTAGCACAGTGTATTATAGCGCACTATATTATTATAGCACAGTGTATTATTGCACTCTATATTATTATAGCACTCTATATTATTATTGCACAGTGTATTATAGCCCTCTATATTATTATTGCGCACTATATTATTATAGCACAGTATATTATAGCACTCTATATTATTATAGCACTCTGTATTATTATAGCACATTGTATTATAGCACTCTGTACTATAGTAGCACTCTGTATTATTAGAGCACACAGTGTATTATAGTAGCACTCTGTATTATTAGAGCACACAGTGTATTATAGTAGCACTCTGTATTATTAGAGCACACAGTGTATTATAGTAGCACTCTATTATCAGAGCACACAGTGTATTATAGTAGCACTCTGTATTATTAGAGCAAGCTGTATTACTATAGCACATTATATTATTATAGCACAGTGTATTATAGCACTCTATTATTATAGCACACTATATTATAGTAGCACAGTGTATTATAGCACTCTATATTATTATAGCACTCTGTATTATTATAGCACACTATGTTATAGTAGCACAGTGTATTATAGCACTCTATATTATAGCACTCTGTATTATTATAGCACACTATATTATAGTAGCACAGTGTATTATAGCGCACTATATTATAGTAGCACAGTGTATTATTGCGCACTATATTATTATAGCACAGTATATTATAGCACTCTATATTATTATTGCGCACTATATTATTATAGCACTCTGTATTATTATAGCACATTGTATTATAGCACTCTGTACTATAGTAGCACTCTGTATTATTATAGCACATTGTATTATAGCACTCTGTATTATTAGAGCACACAGTGTATTATAGTAGCACTCTGTATTATTAGAGCACACAGTGCTGACATTGAATATAAACACAGGGTTGCCATGCTCCATCTAAGGACACTGAGATGCTCCACGCTTGGCAGGGGGCGTGGCCTCGCTTACTAATGGCCGAGCCGCGCTGTTATGCTCCACGCCCTCTGCATGACGTACGTCCGCTCCCGCGCACCTGACTGGCCGCCGCGAGGACAGAAAGGGTGGTCTCTCGCGCCGGTCCCCGCCCTCTGATGGTCTCCGGTCAGCGGCTCCCAAGCTGTCTGCATAGGTGAGTGCGAGGCCTCGGTCGGCGCAGCCGGCAGTTTGTAACGGTATCGGAGGCGGAGGGGAGCTGCCGCCCGGCGGGTTAGTGCTGCCCTGGCTCGGTGAGAGGGGGAGCCGGGCTGTGTGGGCTCCGCATGGTGTGCGGGAGGGAGGGAGGGTGACCTGGCTACCGGCGGTGTCCTTCCCCGGTCCCACGTGTCCGGTACGGGCTGCCCGGGCTCCGTGCTGGCGGTACACGCAGTAACGTTAGAGCCGGAGCTGTGATTGCAGCCGGGGGGGGGGGGGCGGTCCGTGTCCGTGTCCGGCCCGTGTCTATATATAGCGGCCCGCAGGCGGACTCTATTAATAGCTCCCACGTGGGGACACCGGGCACCGGGCAGGGGGGCGGGAGGGACACGTGCAGCGTGGGGGTAAACACAGAGCGCCCCCCACCGACCGCGTGCGGCCCCCAAACACCCAGCCTGGACAGCCTCGGGGGGTGACTGTCAGTGTGCTCCCCTGCCAGGCTGAGTGCACGGGCTGAGCGCTGGCCGGCCGTGTGCTTCCTGCAGGTGGCTTTGTCCTTGGCTGTGCCAGCACGGTGACTGTCAACCTACTAAGGTGTCTGTTTTATTATCTGGCCCCTCAGGCAGTGTGTGTGTGTGTGTGTATGGGTGCTGGCAGTGTGTGTGAATGGGTATGGTACCATGTCTTGAGCTGGTTCACCAAGGTCACACTCACTCACTAACACTGGGTGTGCTGTAAAGGTCACACTGCCTGGCGGGTACATGTGTTTTACACAGATTTATTGTAGGCCACGATCATTGTGTTATCAGTGCAGTTTGTGAAGGGTGTGCTGGTATGAACAGACCTGTCTAAGTTTCTTCCTTTATTAAGTTTTACAAATGTGTTTGTAACTTGTGTCGTAAACGGGCTACCTCTCTGTAAAAAAACAGGATTTGGTTAGTCATTAATGGAAAGTATTTCAGCCAGTTTCTATAATTGTTCGTTTTTTTTTTTAATTTTAGTTTTTTACATTCCTTGCTCTCATGGCTTCCTTGTTGTGTATTCCTGTAGTAATATTGACATTTCATGTTTTCGTTTTTTTTTTTTCTTCTAAACAGTCTAGGTATTTTTAACAAAAAACATTTACATATTGTACAAAAATGTAATAAACCTTAAAAATATATATCACTTTTATTTTTTTTTCTTCTTTTTTTTATCAAGGTTGTTTGCCTGCCATGCAGGTTAATACTTTCAAATTGTCACAACTTTGTGTAGCATGGTGGGTGAAAGAATTACTGACAGTCTACACTTTTTTGTTTATACCAACAACAATGTCTGCTGTGCACTTCAAGGGTCAGAGTAGATAGTTTAACACATTTTTGTTTCTATTTCCCCATCTAATTATTTTTAAGTAGATCTGTTTTTTTTCATTGACTATTATGGAAAAATGCATGAAGCCGGTGATGTCCAGGTGTGTGCAGCCATTTAATAAAACCCATATGTTTGGCCCAAATCCCTCAGCCCCTCTTTTCTATCATAATGTCCCTCTTTTCTAGGAGCTGATGTTGTTGGTGTGTCAGTGTATAACAGAGATTTAAATAAATAATATCTCACAGTAATGTGTCTATTAAGAACACTATTTTTGTTTAAAAATTAGTTACATTGTTCTTGTTGTAAATTAAACTTTTGTTGCATATAGTTGGTAAATCTCCTAAAACTTCTCTGAACAGTCACACTTTTAAAGGGACCATGTAGGCACTGAAGTGGTCTGCGTGCTGACTTCAGCTCATTGAATGTCCCATCACCCTTAACACTAGGCATGTAATTATTGCAGTTTTTATAAACTGCAATAATTATCTGCTAGGGTTAATTTCTCTAATGGCTGTCTACCAGAAAGCCACTAGAGTGACTTCTGTGTTCGAAGGCGACTTTTGGTCGCCTAAATAAACATCAACTTAATTGCCATAGGAAATGGTGAAATCCTAATGTGATCATTGCCATGCATTAGATCTCTCCTGCCGGCTGACCTCGGTGGGGAAGGAGTGTGGGCTGAGCCAGCGCGAGGGATTTCGACGCTGGACCCAGTTAAGTGACAGAAGGCGTTATAAACACCACCTCCTCCATGGGGCTTGATAGTGTGGGAAGCTATAGTAAAAGGAAAGAGTTTTTTTTTTTTTTCTGGCACTATAGTTTCTCTTTAAAGGGTTACTCCAAGCATCATAACCACTGTAGCCTGGTGTAATGGTTATGTAGATAGTACACTGGCCCGACTTCCCAGTAATGGGGAAAACCATTCCGTGATGGCTTGGTCTTCAGTTCTCGCTTTGACAAACACGATTTTGCAGAAGCTGCAAGGTGATGTAGCCGCCATTCATTGGCAGAGAGTGCCAGCTGACTGATTTCAGAAAATGACTGTCACACTGTGCAAAAAAAAAATTGCACAAAATTAGCCAACATGGAACTTTTTTTTTTTTTTTCACCACATGATGCTGCCAGTGGAGAAAGGGAGAAAGCACCTAATGAGTGTAAGTATGGCAGGTGTAGTTTCCAACAAATGTTAACATAGCAGTGTCTCAGGAACTGCACTGTCTTGCAGAAATAAAGGGACATGGTCTGTGCACCAACAACACAACACCCTCTTCCCTTTCTGTAATATGACTTTCATAAAGATTGAATCTTTGTGGAAGTGTCAATCCCCTGGCCGTAACCAGTGACTACTACAGGGAGTAGACTCTTGTCTTTAAAGGTTCTAGTGGATCTGTTGCTGAAGCAGACTTGTACCTGTCTGCAAGGTACAGGTTCAGGTAAGTAACTCATCTTTGTCTGCCACCAGACCCTCGGCAGCGATATCACAGTTGTGAATTTTGCAAAGTCTAGACGATGTCAATGCCACTTCTAGTTGAAGCAGGTTTTGGTGTCTGGCATTCTATTTTTACTCCTGATCTCATGAAACTATATCATGCAGGAAATCGCGCAAGTTCTCCTGTCTTGCACTCTTTGTAGGTCAGGATTTAATGATTTTGCAGCTGCTGCTAAAATATTTTTTATTTTGAGCACTTTAGTTGTTAAGTATATTATTCCTTATCACAGACTGGCCATTGCCAAATGACTGGAAGAGGAGGAATCCTTTGGTTCACCTTCTTGTAAGATTCACATTTCAACTTCAGAAAATAAGGCATAAATTATAGAGTAGATAGGGAAATTTGACACTGGGAAGGCAAGCTAGAATCAGCTGATGTCCAATATCCTCTTGAATTGTGCTACCTGTTGCTTAAAGATACAATCCAGGCTCCAATACAAATTTAATGCATTTGATAGCTTTCCTCCTCATTAATATGGTGTATTTTTGGCATGCTAAAATCTTTACAGTTTTTGTGCAAAAAATGTTTTGCAGGATTTTGCACCAAAAGCCTGACTCCTTAACTACACTCCTCATGCCAGGAAGACTTCCTTATCAATAGGATGCACACAGTCTCAGCAGCACAGAGTGAGCAGATTTGAATTCACAACCTGGCTGCAGAAAAATAAAGTACTATGTGATATCTTTAATATATGGCTCTCTGGGTATCTTCTCCTTTGTTCAAATTATTCAGTCAGTGGCTGAGCGGTGTTCATGCCTGTTGGTAAGGAATTCTTTTTCTAAATTGCAGGGTAGCTGCTAAAGAGGCAGGCTTATGATGTAGCAGTCTGCAAAACATGTTTTATTTTATGCAAAAAAACAAAACATACAGCAAATTAGTGAGGCAAATGCCTTAAGGTAGCTTTGGAGCCCAGAAAGTCCCTTTAAGCAGCACTGAAAAACAATTTTCTATTTAAGTTTACACAGGCCCATGACCTTTTTAGTGTCAAAGATGCTGGTTCTCTGGCAAATTTATACTTGTGCTCAGCGATCTATTAATAGCGAGACATTTGCCTTGGGCAGCACTTTCCAGGAGGGCAGCAAAAACCGTTGCCCCACAAAATGCCCCAGTAAATGCCTTGCTAGCCTTTTGTCCCGCCCTCCCCTCGAGGCAGGCGACAACTAGCTTCGTGGGGGGGAGGGGGGCAGCAAGGGAGTGCTCATCTTGAAGCTTCACTCTCTCGCGCCCTTCTGTGATGCTGGGAGCCGGAATATGATGTCACTCCAGCCCTGGCATCAGTAAGCGTCGTGTGAGGGAGTAGAGCAAGATTACAGCTCCCTCGCCATCTCAATTCCGCGCCCAGCATCCACAGGAAACCCCCTCCCACTTCCTCCCCCTCAGCAGCACATGAGCCCCTACACTCTCTCTCCCTCCTCACCCACCGCAGCACAGGAGCCCCCCAGCCCACACTCCCTGTTTAGCAGCAGAAGAGCCCCCACACTCCCCAATTCCTGCCCCCAGCAGCACAGGAGCCCCCCCCTTGCCCCTCTCCAGCAAAGAAGCCAGCAGCACAGGAGTACCCAGCCAGCAACAGCCACGCTGGACCACAGAGAGAATCCACTCCTCTAGGTAAGGAGCCTGGATGGATTTAAATTAAAATAATAAAAGTAATTTTTGAATGTATGATAAAATGTGTGTCAGTGTGTTGTATCAAATCAGTGAGGATCTATGTGTCACTGTATGTGTATCTGAGTGGGTGTGTTGGTTAAAGTGTGTGCCAATGACTGTATCAGTTAGTGAGTGTATGTCCGTGCATGTGTCTGTGAGGATGTGCGTCTGTCAAAGCGTGTGTTGGATTTAAATAGGAAGGGGGACGGCAGGGCAAAATGAATAAGGGTGTTGCCAGAGTTTAGTCCTGCCTACAAATCAAAGATACACCACTGCCTGTGATAAAGAAAAAGCGTAAACTGGTTCTGGTTGAATAGATATGCATTACAACACACAAGATTACTGTGTTCAGAGGCGCAATTCCATACACTCTCGCATTCTACTAGACACCAGAAATCATAACCACCCTCGTAATGCATAGAGAAGGAGGTGGGAGCAAGATATTAATAGACGGTCACTTCAGAGTTAGGAACTCTGGGACAGGATGTCAATTTTAAGTGTGGTCCTGAGCTCACACATTAACAATCAATACTACAAAGTGAAGACAAAAGTGCTCCCATTTGGTATAGAGTAACGTTTCTATCTCACAACTAGCTTGTGATATTAGGACTTCAGAATATTGGGACTCCAACTCGTTTGATCCATATGTAATTATGGGTGATATTCTCCATTTAGGGTAGAAGCCAGTGGTTCTCAAACCAGTCCTCATGGCCCACCAACAGTCCAGGATTTATGTATTTCCCTGTTTTATTCCAATGGAGATTCTAACAAAATCTGGACTGTTGGTGGGTCTTGAGGACTGGCTTGAGAAACGGTGGTATAAGTGAATGATTTCTGATAACAGTGCTTGCAAGAAACTCTATTTTGTAACATGTTTTAGTTCTAGAGCCTTGAATCTATGGGATGCCATCACCCCAGTTTTTATCAAGTTATGTCCATTTTTATTAAATATCTGTTTTTCTCTGGTACCCTTAGTCTGTTCTGCGGTCTAATTGATAATCCAAAAATTATATTTGCACATTCTCAAATGTGATGGTCTACTGAGCATACTGTGGGCAGGTAAATGGTTTTGGTGCTTAGTGTAAAGATTACGAACGGTTGTCATCAAAGCAACTCAATACCAAGAGTGGAAGTAAAAGACACTGCTGATAAACACCCCTTTCTTACTTGGAATTTTTTTTAAAACAGATACAAAAATAATTTGAATGTTTAGATTGGTGGGTGTGTGCATTTGTGTCAATGAAATATACAAAAATGTGTGCTTCAGTTTTTTTTATATGTACCGTAAAGGGTAGTAGAACAGCGCAAAAGCTGAATCTCTTTGCTGCATAGTTAAAGGACCACTCTAGGCACCCAGACCACTTCAGCTTAATGAAGTGGTCTGGGTGCCAGGTCCTTCTAGGGTTAACCCATTTTTTCATAATTATAGCAGCTTCAGAGAAACTGCTATAATTATGAATGGGTTAAGCCTTCCCCCTAATCCTCTAGTGGCTGTCTCATTGACAGCCACTAGAGGCGCTTGCGTGCTTCTCACTGTGAAAATCAGTGAGAGCACGCCAGCGTCCATAGGAAAGCATTGTAAATGCTTTCCTATGAGACCGGCTGAATGCGCGCGCAGCTCTTGCCGCGCGTGCGCATTCAGCCGGCGGGGCGTAACGGAGGTGGAGAGGAGGAGGAGAGCTCTCCGCCCAGCGCTGGAAAAAGGTAAGTTTTTACCCCTTTCCCCCTTCCAGAGCCGGGCGGGAGGGGGTCCCTGAGGGTGGGGGCACCCTCAGGGCACTATAGTGCCAGGAAAACGAGTATGGTTTCCTGGCACTATAGTGGTCCTTTAAACTTCAATCCATTTATGACCTACCCTCTTAGATACGTGGTGCACTTGCTAGTTTTGCGTTCTGAAAAGTTAAATAGGAAATCCGCCAATGGAATGAACCTCTAGTTTCACTGGTTTTCATAGTGACTCCCACACTTTTAGTACTTTCAACCATTTTTCAGAGCTGAACACATTAATAAATCTTCTATATTGTGTAAGAAATGGCATGACTGTTGGCAAAAGGTGTCTTACATATGCCTTTACCAAAGGTGCAATAAACCATAGAGATTACTTTTTTCTTTTCTAATTTCCCCCCAGTTCTCGTTTTTCCTACTTATCAGTATGTCCTGGGCATGGTTAGAAAATCACAAATTGCCTTATTGTATAGTTATAGTGTATAGTTTTATGGTAGTGAAAGAGGGGGTCTGGCTAGCTAACAATGATTCCTTGTCTCTGATTCCTTCCTGTGGCTGTCTATACCTTTTTATGTAGTCTTTCCATGGCTACAACTCCAATCTTTTGCTCATTGTGATGTTTGTTTACTGGTAGTAAACAGGCGCCTCCCTTGGCCATCTGTCATTGCACCCGGCAATTAGTTTGATAGTTAACCTTTCTGTTAAGTCATCAGATTATGCAGTGCCAAATGTCTTCAAGACCCTAGTAGACACATACAGTACATATGTAGTGCCCTGTCTATATAAGCTGTTCTTTTTAAAACTACTTGGTATTTACTTTTTAAAAAATCTTCCTGTCCTTTACTTGGAAAAATAAGATGTTTATAAACTTAACCTCTTAAGGACCAAGGCTCTTATTGAGATGCAGCACATTTATGACCAAGGGCTTTTTGGCACTTTGTATCACATTTTTACCCTTTCTGGTTAAAGGGACACTATAGTCACCAGTGCAACTACATGTATTCCTGACCCTATAGTGTTAACACCACCATCTAACCCCCCTGGGCACCTCATGCCTCCATAAATATAGTAAACAACTTACTGTATTCAAGCCAGAAGCTGTAACTCTGCATGCTGTTAGACTCAGAAAAACAAGCAGTCTGCTGACCTCATCAGAAGTAGTAGCCTGATCCAATCACAATGCTTGCCCATAGGATTGGCTTTGACTAACAAAGAGGCAGATATGGGGCAGAGCCAGCATGATTCAAACACAGCGGTGGCCAATCTGCATCTCCTCATAGAGATGAATTGAATCAATGAATCTCTATGAGGAAAGTTCAGTGTCTGCATGCAGAGGGAGGAGACACAGTGCTTCCCTGTGCTCTGCCGACAGCAGATCTGAGTGGATTGAGGAGTTTTATGCCTCAATCAACTCAGAAGTCCCTCTGGTGGCATTCCGAATGACTGCAACTGGAGGTGTTCCTAGCTAGAAAATAGTGTTTACATGAGAGAGGCTGCAGGGAGCTATAGTTCTCACTTGAACAACATCATTAAGCTGAAGTTGTTCAGGTGACTATAGTGTCACTTTAAGAAGACCCATATTATTTATATATAATTTTTAAAGGTGAAATAGGGCTATTTTGTATGTATACATAACTCAATATTAAATATAGATAGAATATTAAAGGGGGTTAGTCCTCGCCCAGCAAGCTGAAGTGTGTTTTGAGGTGTGGAGTGGTCCTTTAAGAGCATTTTGACACTTTTCAGTAACCATTTTATAATGCATTTCTGCCAAAAAGTTATTTTTATTAATGGTTTTGCATTTTTCACATGTTTTTATTTTGGGGAAATTCAGACACTGTTTCTCTACTGTAAACCCACCATAATTGTATTCTGATCTCAGCATTGGGCTTTCCCAGCTCTCACAGTACAGAACAATCTTTACTGTGATTGGAGCATAAGAGGGAGATCACCCTCTCATGTGGCAGCTCCTAAAACTGATTGGTGCTGGACAACACCAGTACTGATTATTTGACAGAGGGGCTTACAGGAAGACCTCAAATGGTCTTTTCATATGGTGGGTGTGTCCCTCAACATGGGGGCAGACTGTAAATCCTTTAAAATCACTGCAGCCGAGTTATTCCAAGGGCCATGTGCAGCGCTCACTTTGTGCTAAAATAAAAAAGGACCTGCATTTGGCCTACATGTATAGATCAATGTCACTTTGTTTTATATCTAATAATGGCCCATCTCCGCACTTCACATTGCTTTGTGTACCGTAATATAATACAACCAGGCTTTATACAATGATATTCTAAGCCTAAATATTCCAAGTTTGTTTTCTCTCAGGCTTGCTTGCAGCTGTATACATTTATCAAACACATGATGTTACTGCTGCTAGGAAGCCATACAAGGCTGTCTTGGCCTTGCACTAGTTTAGGGGTAATTCTGTGAGGCAGAATTTCTACAACTGACAACTCCAGTTGCAGTGTGACTGGAATACAAAAGGCCCAGATTTCTCAAGAATGATCCTGGTAATTTCTCTATCCTGTGGGCTTTCTGTCCTGACTGTGTTTGCATGCCTAGTTTGTACTGATAGTAAATTGATAGGATGAGATCTCTTCCCTGTGAAGTAAGTTGCAAAATTTTTAGCGGTCAAGTTATGAGGAGGAGCAGCAACAGGGTGAAGAGATAAAAGTATGAAAGAGGCATTTTGGTTCGCAGGACATTGTGGTTATGAGGGTATTGAAGTTTTCTTTTGCAGAGGAAAGAACCAAGCTGAGTGAGTATAGCTTAAAAATTTATATTGGCTGAATTCAAACGCAGAATGACACTTTCTCAAGCAGCATTCAGCAGTTCTGGAGCATTTTTAGAGGTACCTGGTTATCTTGCTGTGCTATTGGTGCCTCTGGTTACATTTAAATGTAGGAGCTGCTGTGCTGTTTAGTTGAGAGGGGAGGGTTGAGTTGGAGGGAGGTTGCATAGGGAAGATTAGGTTTTAGTTGGGTAGAAGGAGAGTTTGGATGAATGCAGTGTGTTTGTGTAGTGTGTGTAAACTGGGTGGGGGGAGGGAATTTTTATGTAATTTTTATGTTTAATGTAACTTTTTTTTTTTAGACCCCCGCTTCATACTTGGACAGGGAGGAGGTATATGTCCATCCCTGGTGATCCGGTGGCACGGGCTGTGCAATGGGGACCCGCAGAAGCTCTTACTTACTTTGCTGTCCTGGTAGGGCCCCACAGAAGCTTACCTTCCCAACAGCTCCCGGTGTAAATCACGCGGGACATGCGAGATTTAGACAGGGGAGCTGCTGGGAAGGTAACTAAGAGATTCTCTACCCACCTTCTCCCACCTTTAATTTTTTGTTTCAACAAATAGTATTGTTTATTACATCATGCATGTGTGAAAGTGGTGACACAAAAGCCATCCACAAGTGTCAAGTACAGCTTGTGGAGTAGCTTACACTTATGTTGCATGTTTTTGCTCTACTCCATGTGCTCACATCTCCCACCCCATACACCAACCTGCACCATTTCTCTCAAACACCTTATGGCATAACATCTGGCTATTATCTAGAGAGGCTGTTCATCTAGGATTTATTGAATTATTTATTGAGGTGTTTTAGTTGAGCTGTCTGCATTCTAATGACATCTGTAAATCCTACAACTAGCTTTGTTCTTAAACTTCATTCATGAAAACCATGAACATTTTCATTCAGGTTTTAATGCAGATGGTTCAACCTTTCATAAACCTCTGCTGTACTAGAGACTATATTAATAAGTACAGTTGGTCAAAGGCATTAATTTGAAAAACTTTCCAACTAAATGTGAATTTGTATCTGCATTTTTTTTTCTTGTATAGCACAAGGTAATGTTCTAGCTCTGCATTTACTTTTGGTGGTCATTCTGTGTGTATGTATAAATTTTCTTGTCTGTGCATAGCTGTAGAGCGATCTATAGAGGTATGGCTATAGCGTGGTCTATAGAGGTAAAAATGTGTGTGTATATGTTTATTTTTTTGGTGGTTTGTTTTACCTATGACTCTGTGCTCTTCTTTCAGATTTCACTGACCTTTTTAAAAATGTCATCATTTAGCTTGAGCAAAATCCTCCCAATCATTGTGCCAGCTGCTGTTGCTATTGGTTGTTGGTGGTATTACTCTCGGAAGAAGAAACTGAACCAAAGTAAACCAGAGCCGGTTGCTTGCCCTGCAGACTCTGCACACATAGATGCTTTTGTTCCAACAGAAGTTGTGAAAAATGCAAGAACACTACCTTTGCAGGAGGGCATTGAATCACGTCAACGTAGCTTGTGTTCGGATTTGTCTTCAAAGCACAACACTGCCATCCTGATCTCAGACTTGAAGGGTCCATCTAAGGATATTTTACAGAATGAGTCAAAAGTTCAAAATGGTGAGATTTGCCCCTTGCGACAAACCACAAACTGTGAAGATGTTCCTGCGCCACTTGCAACTCAACTATTTAAACCGCAAGGTGAGACACTGACAGAAAGTTGTTTGGAATCTGAAGACCTTTTCCTCAATGGTTTGTGTGCAGGGTATTGTGTCAGCCACACAACACAAACATGCTTAACAGAGAACACAAAACTGCCAACAGATCAGTTAAGCAAGACAGATGACAGGCAAGCAGAGCTAGACACTGACTGCATTCAAGAGACCCTTACTAAAACACCTAGGCATATGGACACTTTTGTCCTTGAGTGTTCCACTGAAAAGCTTTCTCAAGCTGAGGGTGTGCAGAAACCAGTTTTGCTACAAGTTTCCCTGATTGAGTCCTCTTTGATGGAAAATCAGAATTCCCCTCTTGTGCTGAAGGATTCCTGGATCAAAGAGTCTTCCTGTGCAGTAGACCATAACACACAGCATTCTACAGTGTGCGTTTTGAGGGCGGAGATGGACACTGAGGCTTCACTGGGAGCAGAGGACATAGAAAAAGGTACAAATTCAGACAGACTTAAAATGGCTTCATGCCCAGATTTGGAAATTTTCCATGGGTGCTCTGATGATGCCAGTACCAAAAATATTTTTGGAAACTATGAGGCCAAAATGGTTGAGGAGCTGGCTATCAATATTATTTCCAAAGTGATTGTAGCAGCTAAACAGGAATTATTGGCCAGCGCAGTGAGAGATCTGTCTGATGGGGATTACCTGGAAACTGATGAAAGTGCCTCAGAGAAAAGTATGCCACTAGTGCTGGAGCAAAATGGTGCAACCTCCCATGAAGAAGGTGATAGTTTTTCCACAAGGGACTCTGCATGTGAGTCTACACAAACAGAACAGAATCAAGAAGATGATTTAACAAATGTAGATAACGATCAGGCTTGTCTGGAGGAAAGCAATGCAGATCTGATGCAAAGAGACTCTGAGTGTGCGGAAGAGAGAGAACCAATCTTTAGTCCAGTCCATTTAAGTACAGATTCCTTTGATGAAGCCCATGTAGCTATAGATGACTCTAGCATGAGTGCCTGTACATCAGAAGATGGGGTGGGCACAGAAGATCCCATGCAGAGCACAGTTCTCTCAAGTCTTGGCATTGGGTCATATGACTCTTTGAGCACTTCAGGTATTGAATTGTCTAGGGATCAGATTAGTGTACGTAAGAAGAAAGTAAAAAAGGATAAGACAGCAAGAAAGCATTTTCTTATACCCAATGGGCATTCACAAAGCTCTTCACTTGACTTGAAAGGAGAAGGTGCAAGTACTTCAGAGACAGAGATTGACCACTCAGGAGGTAAGGGTTTTTTGTTTTTGTTTTTTTTTTAATGTTAACTCTGCTGCCTGCATTTTATTTTCTTAAAGGAACACTCTGGCAACATAAGTTTATTGGAATTTGTTATGGCAGGAGGTCACTGGCACCAACTTACCATTGGGAGTTAAAGGGACACTATAGTCACCATAACAACTACAGCTTATTGTATTTGTTCTGGTGATTAGAATCATTCCCTTCAAGCTTTTTGCAGTAAACACGGTCTTCAAAAAAAAAAAAAAAGTAGCGTTTACATTACAGCTTAGTGATAACTTCACTGGTCACTCCTCTGGCTACGATAGGTGCATCCTGGGGCAGCGGATAAAAAAAAAAGCCCTCTCATGCCCTCCCATGTCAGTTCAGTCTGTGCCAAACATATGGAAGGCTGTGCTTTGGATGTCTGATATCCGAGAACCTGGGCAGGCCACCTACTTGAATTCAGCCCAAGGGTAAAACCATGTATGCAAGGGAAAGTAGGGAGGGGAGGCAGGCTCTGTCTGTGCTGCAGAACAGAGGAGAGAAGCAGCCAGAATGAATTATTGCAGCAACTTTGTACAGGCAATTTGATAATGGAGACCAAGAACAGGTAAGTCTATACACATTTTGGTGACTTTCTCTTTTTTTTTTTTTTTTTTACATAGTTTTTGCTTCCCAAATGGGGTTATGCAGGAGAGGTGTGTCTAACAGCAAAAGTAACACCCACTGAAAATATGACTTGTGATTTCAACAAGAGACAGGGGTTATGGAAATACAATAAAACATGAGCTTTTAACCGTATTATGGGAAGAAACACTTAACAGTATAATGTGAGTCAAGCCAGATGGTTGGTTAGAGGGACACTATAGTCATCATAACTTTAGCTTAATGAAGCAGTGTTGGTGTATATATTAGACCCCTGCAGTCCCAAAGTTCAATTCTCTGCCATTTAGGAGTTGAATCACTTTGTTTATACAGCTCTAGTTGCACCTTCCTTCCATGTGACTTACATTGCCTTCCTAGACACTTCCTGTAAAGAGTAATCTTTTACACTTTCTTTATTGCAAATTTTGTTTAATTTAAAATGTTATCTCCTGCTCTAATAGCTGCTCTAGACCCTACAGGAGCCTCCTGTGTGTGATTAAATTTCAATTTTACAGAGCAGAAGATAACATTTAAAGTAAGTTAAAATAAACCTTTTCTTATTTATGTTTTGAAAAACTAATATTTGTGTTCAGCGAAGTCTCCCAAGTAAAACAGTACCCCCCATGTACAGGTTTTATGGTGTCTTGGAAAGTTATAGGGTTAAATATAGTGCTAGCAAATTAAATTCCCTATACGTTCGGCATGGGTTGTCAGGCAGGTCCTGCTAATTGTAATTAATATACCTAATTTTGGTATAATGTATATAATTTTTTATTTTTTTTTTAACACTGATTTTAACTTAATTTTATTTCTTTTCCAGCCAGCAGGGGGACTGTCATTACAGGCAGTCCCCCTGTTGGCAATGCAGCAGCCAGCTAACCCGGCCATGTGATTGAGAGGTCCTCGCAAGGACCTCGCCCTCACATAGCCGGGGGGTGGGGGGCAGGATCCACTGCGGGGGACTCCCTGGGATCCCAGGTGAGTCTCCCTAACCGCGATCGCAGACAACCGGGTAAGTAAGAGCCGCTTAGAATAGGGTGTAATAGTACGCCGTCTGGTTTTAAGGGGTTAAGCTGAAGTTGTTCAGGTGACTATAGTGTCCCTTTAACTTCTAAATGGCAGAGTATTGAGCAGTGAAACTTCAGAGGCTTGATCTATACACAAAAACTGTTTCATTAAGTTAAAGTTGTTTTGATGACTATGTCCCGTTAACTGCACACCTATATCATGACCGGTTAAACAAAGCATTTAACTTAAAGCAGTTGTTGGCCCAGAAATGTTTATATTCAGTGTCTCTACTTTGTAACTATGCATAACAAACTGAAATAACTTTGACTCATTGATTTATAGCTTATTGGCTTTACAGCTGTGATTTGGGGTTCATATCCTAAAAATATCTTAAAATTATCTGGTCTATATTTGAATTTTTAGGTTTTGTTTTTTTTTTTCTTCAATTTTCTTGTAAAGAGACTTGCATATGTTTAAGGCATGTTACTCTCATGACTTTGATAACTATAGGGTCAGATATGAATGGTGTGGATTCCGCAGATGGTGCCAGCACCCTGGGAACAAGTGAACAGCTTCTGAGAAGTACTCCAAAAAATGTACCACTTGTTGTCTGGGAGTTTGAAGTTCCAAAGGTAAAGATCAATCTAATCTATTTGTGTTTTTTTTTTTTTATCATCTGTTGACAGGTGTAAATGAGACAAAGCAATGACTTGCTCATCTATTTGTGCACGTAGTTTTGTAATCATCCATTTCCCTCTTGCTGACCACCTACAGTAACAGTATTCATAATTAGATATGTGCATCAGCACCCTAAAGCAAACATCTTATTGGACATTTTAGGGGTTTTGTCCCCAGTCATGAGTTTTCCTCCATGTTCAAATATCTTAAGTCTACTTAAAGAGAACTATGTTTTGTTGCTTTCTACAGCAGTGCTGCAATATTTCCACTCCCTACTAGCCATTAGCGAATATTAATCTGCCCATAAATGTAGAAATTCACCCCATGTGTATGTTGTGGTTTGCAGTAGTGACCAACTTTTAGTGCCTGGCTAGTAGCATAAGACTTCAGATTTTAAGAGCTGTTCTACAATATAACCCTGTACCTGCATAATGCTTCCTCTTTTTACAAAGAAACTTCTTTATTAGATGTATTCTGAGTACATGCTCAGCCAATGAGCGGTTAGCGAGACATGGGATGCTTACTTTACCCTGCCTCCTCAGGCAATTACTGTCCTAATATTTGTATAATATTTCAAAGCTGTGCAAAGGGGACGAATAAGAGAGCAAAGGAGTAATATCAGCATCTCTGAATATGTACTCCTAGTTAATTTAACAAGGACGTTGCTTTGTGAAAAGAGGCAATGTAGCTAAAAGTACAGTGTTATGATTCAGGAAGCTGCATAATCGTTTGTTTTGCTATTTAAATAAAGTGAATGTGAAAAACATGGATATTATGATACATTATATCAAGGGCACTTAAGGTATGATGGTGCGCAAGAGTGTGACCAGAATTCCTTTAAAGAGAGACTCTATAGTGCTAGGAATACAGATTTGTCTTCCTAACACTATAGTGCCTCTGGACACCTACCCCTCCCCCCGGCACAGATGTCCCTTGCTACTGGGTTGATATTCTGCCTCTTCAGTAATCCGACCTGGGACTTAATGCGCATGTGCGGTGAGTGTATTAGGCCCTCTCCTTAGGAAAGCATTGAGTCAATGCTTTCCTATGGGGGTTTCACTGACTCTCGATGTGAGGACTTTCAGAGACTTTTTGGTGACCAGAATCTAGTAAATTCCTGGAGTCACCTCTAGCGCGTCTCTGGTAGACAGTCACTAGAGGTTGCTGGACGAAGACAATGTAAAACAATTCGGCTATGGAGAAACGGTTTACATTGCAGGTCTAGGTGGGACAGTGCGCTTAATAGATTGGGTCAAGCCTCAAGAGGACACGATAGCAATTATATTACCCACAAATAAATATTCAACAAAAGCTCAAAAACAGAACTTAGAATACAGAAAAGAAAGTAGTAAGGAATTACTTTATTTGCCAATTGGAAATAAGACATAACGAAGTGAAGCATAAGTGAGTTAAGTGGGGAAAAAATAAATCTTAAAATTGGATGGCTAATGGGCATATACACAGAACAAAATTAAAAACGCAACACTTTTGTTTGCCCTAATTTTTCATGAGCTGAACTCAAAGATCTCAGACTTTTTCTATGTACACAAAAGGCCTATTTCTCTCAAATATTCACAAATCTGTGTTGGTAAACACTTCTCCTTTGCCGAGATAATCCATCCACCTCACAGATGTGGCATATGAAAATGCTGATTAGACAGCATGATTATTGCAATGGTGTTTCTTAGGCTGGACACAATAAAGGCCACTCTAAAATGTGCAATTTTATCTGATAGCGGCCCTGAATGGGGGCGAAAACAAGTGTGTTTATAATTTTAGTGTATTAATAGAGGATTAGATATTCTTTCAGATAGATACATAAAGTTTATAACTATATTGGTTACAATGTTGCAATGTTATCACACTTGCAACAAAAGTAAAGGCATAAGTATCAAAAATACACTATTAACAAAAAAGAACACAAGAACTGACCATTTGGGAGAGAAGCCCTAATGTAGAGAGAGTAACCTTAATAAAACATAACTTTTTTTAATATAATTGTATAAATATTTAAAATACTTGACATGAATATAGTGGATTCAATTAATATCTATAATAGGAAAAATCCTACAAAAATAGGAAAATATCAAATTTTTATAAACAATCTAAATGTTTGTATGTTAATCTAAATGAAATATTGAAAAAAAATAAAAAAATAACAAATGCTGTTCACCATAACTGGGTGATAAAAGTGGAATAATTGCACTGAGATGTAAACGAAAAGTAAAGTAACTTATCCAATACCTAATTAGCCGGAGGGGGAGATGAAACAAAATTGCAAATATAGTAGAGCGAGGAGAAACCCTACAGGGTAAAGATACTGATCGTCCCTACTCTGCTGTTCCTTGGAGGGCACCCCCCAACCTCCTCTCTGGAGAAAAAAAACTAAATATCCTGATGAGCAGAGACGCTGTAAAGGCATCTCGTGGGTGAAATTGGCTAAATAGATTGCAACAAAAAGAAATTAAAATAAAAGGAAAAATACAGTATAAATAGTATGTCTCTAAACTAACACCATACACCTCAACGTCCCTAACATGCGTTTCGCCGTTAAGGCTCTTCCAGGAGACCAAAAGCATCAAAAATATTGCATAAAATGACCGGTAAATCTAGCTATATTCAATGTAGATATTTAATTTAGATTGATTAATTTATAAATGATCAGCCCGATTTTTTTTTTTTTTTTAAATATTCATTGGAAGGGATCATTGGGGCCAACTGGTATCCACACATGAATAAAAGACTCCTTCGATAAGATTAAGCTAGAATACTGGCAATCTAACAAATTTTTGTAAAAATTCTCCAGGCGATTAACATCCTCATTGGAAAATTGTCACAAGTTTGTTAAAAAAACAAACAAAAAAAACCTGTATGATAAACATTTGATAATCCCTTAGGCAATAAACTGCAGTGAATCTTAAATTGGTTAGATATTTTAACAACTTGAATGCCAACAGTAAGTATAGAGAAACTAGTTCAACAGATTGCTCCAATTACGGTATTATATTCAATTTATACATAGTATTAAAGATCTCTGAATTATTTATACAAATAGCACATCTAAGATCTGTAATCGATTGCAAGGCAATTTTGGCCGATATAGGAGTATTCCAAATCTTGGTGGCTTTATTTTTCACACAATTGGAACTATGATATTTGAACGAGAGTGATTAGGCAATTGGAGTAGAACGAATGTGTGTGAATAATCTATGGTTCAGGAGTTTAAACACTTATTCTAGATCTAAATGTCCCTTTACATTAGAGACTCTGATATCCTAATAAAAATTGAGGAAAAGTTATAATAAATCCTAGTCTGAAAAATCCACCCCTAAAAGCTGCTTTGAGGCTTTTACGAGGGTCACTATCTCAAAGGTACAAAAACCTCCTCAGATTCAACTGCTTTGAGGCAGTCCCCTTCGTACCAGTCATTTAATTATAGAGAGAATATTGTTGGTATGTCTAATAGTGTCTACATTAGCTATCCAAGTCTAAAACAAAAGGAGTGTCCACTCAGCACACTTTTCAGCGCTTCCAATCGCTTTTCTCAAGCGCATAAGTGTGTAAGTGGGACAGTGCACCCAGACCATTTCAATTAGCTGTGTGGTCTGTGCCTATAGTGTCCCTTTAAGCAGTGCTTGTCAGATGTTACCAAGAATAGGTATATTTGAAACATTGCGTTTCAGAAGGTTTAAAACCAGTTCATTCCATTGAATTGGTTAATTTCCTGGATACCTCTTTTGCTGAGACGTAATAGATTGCTTTATACCAGGCTTCCCCAAACTCCGGCCCTCCAGATGTTGCTGAACTACAACTCCCATGATTCTATGAATTAAATAGGCGGAGAATCATGGGAGTTGTAGTTCAGCAACATCTGGAGGGCTAGAGTTTGGGGAAGCCTGGTTTATTCTTTGCCATCCTCGTATCTAGCAATCTCACACAAAGGGAGCAATGTAGGGCACTAGCTACTAAACAGCTAATATTGAAAAATCCCGAAAATCTTTATTTTTTTATTTTTATAATAGATCTTTCAGCAGGTTATTGGATAAGTACCAAACTTTTGGGATTGCTATATTTGAGAATACCAAACTAGGAAGCTATATTATGCAACAATCTCGTATAATCATACGTACATTTACACACTTATATGCACATAATCATGATTACATAAATGTTCACATACAAGCACATGTGGTTTTTATTTAAGAGGTCCATCCTACTTTCTTAGGAAGAGCCAAAGTGGATACTCTCCCTGGGGTACATTGGTTACACAGTGGTGCTTACACTGCACAGCTCCCATGTGTACCTTGTAGTGATCGCAATGACGGAGTTATGTCACATCTTGGCTTCTGGCACACTACAGGGCAGTGAGGGAGATGTGCAGGAAAGAACACCATGTACATAGCACACTTACTGCCCAAAAAACGAATACTGATTTTCATCAATTAAAAGCTTTAAATTATTTTTGCACACATACATTGTCATAAACTCACCTTTGAAAATATATATGAAACTGATACTGTCCTGGTTATTTTTTTTTAAAACGTTTCAGTAAATGCAGTTACACTCTTCCATAATATGTAGTTTCTATCTTTATTACCTACACAAATCAGATTTTTATTTAGAGTGTGTAAATTTTTTTTTTTTCTCCTGTTCTTTCTTCAACAAAGCACTTGGTTGGCCGACTGATTGGAAAACAAGGTCGGTTTGTGACGTACCTGAAAGAGACTTCTGGTGCCAAAATTTACATAACGACATTGCCTTTTACACAAGAATTCCAGTTGTGTCACATAGAAGGTGAGTAGAATTGTTCTAGTAAAGTCCAAAATTAAGAATGAATAATTTCATTTATAACTGTTAAATTGTGATACATAGTGTCAGGACTTAAAAGTTGTAGCTTCATGCTACTAGCCAAGCCTTATAGAGATACTCCAATTTTTTTTTAATTTTTTTTATAAATTTGCTCAATGCCCTATAGGACCTCATACTTTAGGGATATAAAAGTAAGTGTTACTGGCCTAATTCCAGCGCCAGGTAAAGCTCCTGGCATTTCTCTGCACATCTTATGTCACAGGAATGAGCAGAGGTCCGATTAAATGCTTCTCATAGAGAAGCCTCTGATTGCACCATTTTACCTGCTCAGCTAAGAAGGGAGAAAAGGCTAGGTGGAATAGGAAGTCTGGGAGGGCTGCATTCAGTGTGGGAGAGCTGTGCCTGCAAGAGAAGCATAGAACGTCTGTTGCTAGTATGCAAAACGAGCTGACAGTTGTGAAATATGATATCCAAAGAACTGACAATATTCCAGTCTGTCACGTGTGCCAATGGTGCAACTAGATACCACCATAACTATCTCAAAAAGCACAAGCAGACATTGTGTTTGGTGCAAGTCTTTAAGTTACTCACCACTGCAAGCCATAGCATACTCTCCAGGTGAGAACTACTACTTGCCAGGGTAAAATTATCGTTTGCCAATTGCTAGTGACAAATGGCAATTTTGGGCAATTTTGCTGCTATTTCAGTTTAGCTCAAACTTTTTATCTAAATGTCAGTGATTTGTAGTGAATTCTGAATTAATTCACACCCAACTTTTGACTGTTCCCCAAAATTATGCTCTTTGATATGTTTAACCAGATGTCTGCCTTGATTTAATATTTTTGGATAAACTTTAAATTATGTAATATTTTGAAAAATAATTTCAATATATTATGTTAAATAGTTTTAATATTAAAATATATAATTTAATATTACATTCTTTTTTTTTTTTAAGTTCATGCAAACATAATAAAATATTTGAGAATATTAAAACAAGGTCATAATTGGCCAAAATGAACTTTTCACTTGACATAAAGCTGGCTTTCTCTGTAAATTGTTAGACTGTTGAAGGTCTTTAAAGGGACATGGTGTACAGTGGTGGTTGAGAGCCATCATAGCCCAGAGACTCATGGCACCATAGACCATGACTACGAATTAAATCTCTCCCTCTTATGTCAAATTAGTTATGTTTTCCTTTTCTATTTGACAGGTTCTCAGGAGGCAGTTGACATTGCACTTGACTTAATTTCCAAGAAATTTAGAGATCTTGACCTAACAAACTTTTATCAACCACCGTTATTGCAAAGGCAAGGTTCTCTTCCTACAACATCTTGGGTAAGTTCTTTGTCTAGAGCAATGTATATAAACACATGAAATTTGAAAACCAGTAGTTTAAGAGAGCACCAGTTTATGTGGCAAATGTCTTTGGATATGATTTGATGCATTGTGCTTGCAAATGTATGTTACCTCCTCTGGAAGATTTAAGCTTATTCCTGTTGGCTGAAGACAATAAACTATTTTATTTACACACCCATATTTCTGATAGGTTAGAACTAGAGGGGAATGTGTGTATATATTATATAAAATATGAAGTTCATAAAAAATGCAGTTAAATGTGTCCTAGTTACAACAAATAGATCGCACAAGCATGACGCAGCTTTAATTTAACAATGTTTTGGTAGAAATGTGTGCTAAAATATTAAGAGAAAGGTAGGATGAGAGAAGTGTACCTGCATGGGCATGCGGTCAATTACTTGTTTTGGAAATCTGGTGCCAAGAGTGTCTCCTACAGCCATTAATAAAGCTAATAAAAGTTAAAATCAGAAACGTTTCGCAAACATTTCAGCCTGACAAAGTAGAAGCATCTATATTGCAATCTGCCAGATATGTGAACAAACAGGACCTGTACAATACCCGGAGGTCACCTTGACAGTTTAGAGTTTTGAGCTACTGGACAAAGTCAATCTGAGATTACTAATTTTCCTTGCCTGTCCTTGAATAGCTGCTTACATGTTTTTTTTTCTTTTTTTTTTTTTCTTCCATTGTGGTAAAATGACAGCCTGTATATGCACCTTTAAATTACATAATTGTAAACTTCTCAATGAACTTAACAAAATCTTGAGTGATGTCACATGAAAGCAGCCGTTCCTCTTAACTTTGTCAAGTATGGTGCTCTGTAAGAAATGTAGCCAAAATGTTAAAGGATCACTATAGGTTCAGGAACACAAACCTGTATTCCTGACCCTATAGTGTTACCACCATCTAGCCCCTCTGGGCCCCTCATGCCTCCATAAATATAGTAAAAATCTTGCTGTATTCAAGCCAGAAGCTGTAAATCTGCATGCTGTTAGACTCCGGAAAAACAAGCAGTCTGCTGACTTGTGATAGGCTGATCCAATCACGGTGCTTCCCCTTAGGATTGGCTGAGACTGACAAGGAGGCAGATCAGGGGCAGAACCAGCATGATTCAAACACATCCCTGGCCAATCAGCATCTCCTCATAGAGAGGAATTGAATCAATGAATCTCTATGAGGAAAGTTCAGTGTCTGAATGCAGTGGGAGGAGATACTGAATCACAGGATGCTTGTGCACAGCAGATCTGAGTGGATGGAGGCATATTATCCCTCCAACTCAGAAGTCCCTCTGGTTCACTCTGACTGCAACTGGAGGTGTTCCTAGCTTTCAATGTAAACACTGTATTTTCTCAGAAAATACAGTGTTTACATGAGAGTGGCTGCTATAGTTCTCACCTGAACAACCTCATTGAGCTGAAGTTGTTCAGGTGACTATAGTGTCCCTTTAAAAGGAGTGTAGTTACTATACCAATTTCATCTCATTTAATTGGTTATAATGCCTAGAGTTCCTTGGCACCATCGCTTATTCAGTGCAGTTGAGCACGAATGGTCCTTGGCCACCCACAGCCTGATTCCTACTGGAGGTGTCACTAAAGCAGAGATTACGCTTTTTCTTAGTCACGCTCCTCATACTACAGTTGAGCTCTGATTGTCTGAAAGTGTCAGCCAACTGCATTTAGCCTATCACAGCACATAATTTGGAAAGAGGGGAGTCACTTATTTCCCCTTAGCTATGGTAAATGACTTATGATATAGCTTAATCGGATTTACGAGAATATGTATAAAACAATCCTATCCCCTTCAATATATTCATTCTTCTATTAGACTGTCTGTCGTTCAATAAATAACCCCCCCCCCCCTCCATACTTCCTTAGACTAGGGGTGTTCAACATTTGGCACACTAGATGCTGTGGACTACATCCCCCCGCCGCCGATGCTTGGCTAGCATTATGGCTATCAAATCATTGAAGATGTAGTCTACAGCATCTGGGGTGCCGAACTTTGCCTTCCACTGCATTGGACTGTATATTATTGATTTTCACCAACTGATAAACATGTTTTGCAAGCTGTAAATGTGTATACCTTGCATGTTCTAGCTGGTGCTCCCAGAAGGTGTCACTATTGAAGTGGTTGTTTCCAGCATAGCCAGCGCCACTCATCTGTTCATCCAGCAGCACACACACCCAACGTATCATGCTCTAAGCACCTTGGACCAGCAAATGTATTATTGCTACATGGAACCTGGTATTCCCACTCTTCCAACTCCAGTAGAAGGTGAGTTAACAAATCATACAATGGATTTGGTTCATCAATTAAAATGTACATGTAACTACACTAAAGGATTTTTACATTTGTTGTGAAGTAGTGTTCAAAACATCAAAATTAAAACATCAGGTTTTACATCCCATAACTGTGCTGTTGACACATTTTACCTTTCTGTCCTTTTCCATGTCAGTTTATATTAAAAAAAATCCTGTATTTAGATCATAAACCTTATTCTTTTCCACTCCATGAGCTTCATTGGGCTTCTTTTGGCTCCACTGAACAAAGTCATGCCTTTGTGACACTATAGAAATTGTAGTCCTTGTGGTGACAGAAGTGTTTCTTTAAGATTCCCATTACACCCCTAATGAGAATCCTGAAGGACTGCCAGTTTTTACTTCTGGCACTGAAGAAAGGAATTTGCATTTATGTACCTAGAGCTGTTTTTAAAAGGAACAATTCTGGGGCAAAGAGGTTAAAGCCGCACTGTCATGCAGAACTTGCCTTTCCCTAATCTATTCCTATTCTCTCCCTCTGTCACAATCTGTACTTAATTTCTGCCTGTTTGCTCTAGTTTTCTTTAAAACATAAGACAAAGTAGGGACTGTTTGTCTTATGGAGATTTCCTATGCCTGACCATCTATGATCAGTGGAGGAACAAAGTGTGCCCTGTGTAAGAAATTTTCCCACAATTCTTGCCTTTCCTCCGTGATCTCGAGATGCTTCCTGTCAGTATTTCCGAACGTCCTATCATTTTAGACAGAACACTGCGAAACTACCGAATTTCGTCATTACAGAATGAGAACAGCTTCTCCATTCATGTTAGGATGCAATTCAGGACTTTGTTCGGATCAGAATTTCATTTGAATGAATGAAATTCCGATCTGATTGATCTGTAATGTGACTGCATCATGCAGCCGCTTAGTAGATGGCTCCCTAATTCCCATGGCATTTGACTCATAACACTGGTTGCTTTCAATTTGATTTTTTTTTTGCGCTTTTTTTATCCCAACAGTAAGCATGTTTAGTAGTCATGCCCCTACTCACGGCATAGGGAGTAGGGGCATTCAGTAGCTTTTAATCTCCCTTATGCTATTATGGGGGTCATAATGACCCCCATAGACTGAGGGGCTTAGGAAGTGGCGGGGGGTACTGCTCCCTGCCGTTTCTATTTTTACATATTACAAGGAGGGATCTGTGTGCTGGTCTTCGTTCATTCGTTTTAAATTTCTATTCTAATGAATGAATAGATGAAATTCCTGTTTGCATGCCCAAGTGTTTAACTGGACATGCGTGGGAATTTCACAGCGCTATGTAGTGTGAGCAGATGACGTGTCCCACAGGGACTTAATCTAGCCACACAAAGATGGCGGCGCTCAGAACCACTGTCCAAGCACGAAATAAGGATGCAAAAATAGGTAAGATGGGGGGCTAAAAGGCATTTGGGGTTGACTAGGGGGGGCAGTTAGATGTAGTGGAGTTGGGGGGGTTAAAAAACAAACTGGATTTGTCCATGAGAGTGCCACTTTAAATGTGAAGTTCTTATCATGCAAACCATTAAAAATAGTATTTCTGGAGATGGCTTTTTAACAAGCATTTATCCTTTTTGAATATGCTACATAATGAACATTCCGGACATCCCCTTGTTGGGTTTAGGATCCAGTAACTTTTTCTGGTTGGACTGTGGTTTAGATGTCTGGTCCAAGGAAACGTGTAAAGAAAAATATAGTGGTGAAACACAAGTGTGTAAAGCTAAAAAGTAGGAGAGAGAGTGTAAAAGATATTGAACTAATAAAGTAAGAGAATTGCAAAAATAGTACCTCAATACTGGAAAAACAGGGGTCATCAAAATCTCTGGCGGAAAAAAGTCACTAAAATGTTAGTGGATCCAGGAGCTAACATGAAATCAATAGTATCAATAAAACCATACATGACTGCATGCATATAGAATAAATAGGAACAATATAGTTAGTAAAAATCACAATGTGATAGTGTCTCTAAAAATAAGTGTATCCATATAATAACATCCTATGTATGTTAAATATAGGATGATACGGTCAATTCACACTGAATTGGTCTAATTACTGTAAATCCGTAAATGTATATAATATACATACACACATTCAATCAGTATAGAGGATGGATTGCCATAGCGATATAGGTGTCCAGTGCTGCTCGGATTCCCACCTTTATTGTAGATTTAGACTTCAGAAGAAATGGGACCGGCCAATGCCAAGTGGAGACTGGTTTGGAAGCACAGCTGACTTGAATAATTTTTCCTGTTAGGGTGTTTTTGGCCATAAAGGGATACTCCACTGCCCAAATAAAAAAATGCTTTGAGCAATTGCTGCCTCTTGCGTTTAGTTCCATTGAGCAACACACCAGGAAATAATGGGGTCGGTTGTCTGTTTAATCTTGTTTGTTTTTTGGTTTTTTTTTTCCCCTTAATAGTTCACAGCAAACAGCTGTTCAGGGTTTGCCAACAAGTGTTTTTTGCTGTGCCAATCATGAGAAATCAAGATGGTTATCTGGCATTGGTTCAGAATGCATATTGAAAACACGTTTAACACTGTTGGAACTTCTGTCTTTGATAAAGTAAAGATAATATTGTAAATCTATCATTGCAGTTGGTACAATTTGTGCTGCTCCTAATGAAAATAACGAATGGTGGAGGGCCCAGGTTGTGTCTTATTTCCCAAACACTGAAGAGGTTTTCATCCGATACGTGGATTACGGAGGTTATAAGAGAGTAAAAATTAAGACTTTACGTCAGATAAGGTGAGTTCAAGTATTAAGCACCTCATTTAAAAAAATTTATATTTCAATTTATATTTCAAAAAAAAAGTTATATTTCAATTTAACTGCCCTTTTCTCAAATCTTATGTGACACTAATATGCAAAGTTAGTGCCATATAAGAGAACGTACTATTTGTTTTTAAAATAAGCATTTTTGAAAGATTAATTTGGGGCATTGTAGCAGTTTAATAATTCAAACAACCTCATCAATGCATACCATTTGTGAAAGTATAAATAAAGCGGTATGGTATATTTTGAACCTTATTATTGAGCTATTTTAGCACCATTTTCTTAACTTTATTGTATTGCATTTTTTAGATTTTTTTTTTTTTTTTACATGCACATTGCAATTTGAGCAGTTATTGTAAACATAATATGTTCTATTGTAATAAAAATCACTAAATTGTGTCTATCGGAGTATAGAATTTGACCCCCTTTTGTATACCTTTGTCAATTGTTGGAGATTATTCATAGCTGAATTTGAAACTTGCTCATTGTAGTTGTTCAAAGAATTGACAAAATTAAGATGGATCTGTGGTGCATTTTAGTAGCTCACCTATTTCAATTACTCCACAAATGCATTACCTTTGCAAAAGTGGCCAACACGGCGACTAACACGTGATTGATTTATTTTAGGCTTTCTTGAGGGGCCATTTAATTTATTTTTTCACACCATGTGGATACTTTTGCAAAGTTATATTTTTAATTCTAGTCTAATTTCTTCATCCTAAACACGAAGTCTAGACCAAATCCTAATTCCAAATAGAACCCTAAATCTAATAAACCTCTCAGTAATCCTAACCCAAATGCTAACCTTAATCACTATCCTAACCTTATAAATAGTGGTAGAATGACTCTCTTGCTGATTTTAAGCATTTCCTTGCCGGCCCCAATCCTAGAAGTCTATACCCTAATTATTCTACACATATTAATCCTTGATTTAATCCTAATCCCAAATGTTTCCCCCTAATATCAGTACTGATGGTAACAGTGTATTTTGAGACAATAGTATGTTGCTGCCATCTACTTGCGATCTTCATAATGACACCTTCAAAAAGCTTGCATTGAACATTTTATGCAACTGACAGCCCAGCACTAATCAAAATGCCGTTCAGACCCCGTCAGTTTTTCTGGCACTAGATCCAGTGTCGATCTATTGTCGTAGTAATAAACATGGCTCCAATTACATTATTCTCCTTTTGCTTGCTTGTCGCCTAACATTTAAGTAATGAAATACTTAATGCTAAATATCTCCATGTATTTGAAGATGCATACATCATTGGTATAAATGCGCACAATTGTTTTGTTTAAAAAGTGTAACATTTTCCCCCAAAATTTTACAGGCATATAATTAAAATGTTGCTTCAGGATGAAGTTTATTTAACAAAGGAGCATATTTTGCTTTTCCCATAGATCTGACTTTGTCACTCTGCCTTTCCAAGGAACAGAAGTTTTGTTAGACAACGTTGCACCTATTCATGGTAAACACATTTTGCATGGTTCCTGGTATTATTTTATATTTCTACCTTTTTTTTTTTTTTTTTTTTTTTTTTTTTTTTTTTTTATGTTAATACTTTAAACAAACCTCATTGTGTGGTGAACATATTTAAGTCTGATTTGTTACTCTGGCAAAAAATAAAAATAGACACACTGCGAATTGGAGAATTTTTCTGGATCAGCTATTTTTAGATTTTGTTATTTGATTTTTATTTTGCTAAAACTCATTTTTGAGTAAGCTGATTGGTGGGATAAGCAGTCTAACTGTGAATTGTCAGGAATGTAAAATTAATTTCAGATCACATGCTCCAATAGCTGAATTTGAAATCTTTCTTACGAACACTGCTTACAGGGTTATTTAAATATTCGTCCATTATAGCCCAACTGAAAACCGCAAACACACCTATTGAATCTTTCTGTCAAAATATGCCAAAAACAGACAAGTATTGAATATACTTGTTGGTGCAAATCTAAAGTGCAAAAACAGTGGAGCATATAGGAAATATATAAAAATACCACCTTTTTATTAGTGTGCCTCTCCACCCCCACCCACTCCAACCCCTCCCCCATAGTGTACCTCTCCACCCCATAGTGTACCTCTCCAGTTGCAGTACAACAGTACCTCATGATTGTATTCATGGAAAAACACACACATTATTTGCAGATTAATAGAATAATCATGTTTTGCATGCAGATTTATTCAAATCCATTACTTTTTTGCTCACTCTTTGATCTGCATTTTCATCCAGCTGTATTCCATTGTACACATTTGAGAACATATTCATGTGTTTTTCTCTCATTGTATAGGTGACAATACCTTTACCACAGAAGCAATTGAAGCTATTGGTGAAATGCTAAACGGTGTACCTTTATATGCACAGGTAAAACTTTAAAATAAATCTAAAGTGGTTGGTAGTCTACACAAGGTGCATTAACAAACTACAAATCTGGTCTATAAGACTGCTCAAATTTAAAGGGACACTATAGTGACCAGAACCACAGATTATTGTATTTGTTCTGGTGAGTATAATCATTACCTTCAGGCTTTTTGCAGTAAACAGTCTTTTTAGAGAAAATGCAGTGTTTACATTACAGCATAAGGATACCTCCAGTGGGCACTCCTCAGATGGCTGTCTCCATGCAGTGTCTCTACTGCATGGAGACACTGATCTTTCCTCATAGATATGCATTGATTCAATAAATCTCTGAGCAGATGCTGATTTGCCAGGGTTGTTTGACTTGTGCTGGCTCTGCCTATGGGAAAGCCTTGTGATTGACTTTTGATGTCAGCCAAGCAGGCAGATCAGGGGCAGAGCCAGCAGCAGCAGACTGGAATATTTATAGGTGGGGGGGGGGGGTTGCCTGTTAAAGTTTTGACTGAATTTAAAGGGCTCTGAGCATCACTTTCAGCTCTGCTTAGAACTAGTCTGTCTGGGGCCACTGAAAATGACCCCAGCTGACTGAGGAGCCCCATGTAATCATTTATACCTGGGGCTACTGGTGTGAGCATGGATGTAAGCTTTTCATGGTTATTGTATGTTTACAAATTAAATATTTCATTAACATAACAATAACTTTACACTGACATTTACTTAGCTGATCTTGAAACTATGCTTTAGTTTTTATTTTGCTGTAATTTTTTGTTTTTTTTTGTCAGCCCTTGAATATTCCAGTTTGTAGCCAGTGACTCAGTCGTCATTTAACTGCTTTTATCTTATTTCTATTGTCCATAGTCTGAGCATGAAAGGATTGGCTAGCTATGTATCTAGCAAAGACACCATACCATTTATTCCTAACACATCGTGGCAGTACCAGTGGGTTTTGTATCTTTCTGATGGACAAGCCAACTGTAAACAAGTAAATTAAGAATTTAAATAATCCCTCCTACTTAGCCCGGTATTCTTTCTTGTTCCATTTGCGACGGACATACTGACGGAACTTAGTCTGGTGAGGCGCACAGGTTGCTGTCTGGGGGATCTGGCCGAAAGCTCGCTGGGTGGTGAGCTGAGTGCCCCACTCTGAATCCTGGTTACAGAGCAGTTGGAAGTCTGCCTTCTTATGCTGTGTAGAGACCAGCGCTGGGTAAGAGACTGTCCCAGGTGATCTACCAATCGAATTGCGAGCTTGGAGCTTGCGCATGGAGGTGGAACGCACGCCTGGGCAGCTGTGCGTTCCACCGAAGTTCCTAATTCACATGTGCAATTTAGAACTTTACATTTCGGCGCTCAATTCAAAAATGGGTGCCTATTTAAGTCGTGCAAATCCTCAGGACAAGCATGTAAGTTGTTTGTTGAGGGAATAGTGTCACCAGCCCTCCCCCACTCTTCAGAAGTCTTTAATAAAAAGATAAAACCTATCATACCTTAAAGGCATCTGTTGTTTTTTTTTCTTCTGGATTGGAAAGTTTCTCAAAATTGCTTTATTGCTGATGTCTAGCTCATCGTCTCCTAAAGACTTGGACAAGGAGAAAATGTCGGCATCTGCACCCAAGAAGGCTACATTTAAATTGAACTATAACAGCTGTTCAGAATGCCCTACTCCACTACCTGATGGATGCAAAAAGAAAATATGCAATAGCTGCGCCTCTGAAGATTTGGAGAAATTTAAGCAGCAGGATATGCAGAAATTTCTTAACTGGTTCCAGGTTAACCTTTCACAAACATTTGAATCTTTTAAAGAATCAGCTAAAATGCATTATTCTTGAGAGGCATTCAAAAAAAATGTAAGCGAGAAAGATCTCCCTCCCTGTCTGAGTTATCATCAGGAGACTGCTCTGACACTGTATGCTCATTAAATTCTATTGAGGCGTCTAGTGTGGAAAGATTTTCTGCCGAACACCTGAAAAGATTCCTTAGGTAACGTCAGTGTTATCAGATTGATTCTACTAAAAAGATTAAGGGTTTCCCGATAGACCCGAAGTTGTTAGAATATGTACATAGAGAATGGAAGAATCCTGAGAAAAGGGCATTAATTTCCAAACATTTTTTTTTTTTTTTTTAAAGAGCTTATCAGACTACACGAAGGTTTAAGTTGGGAATATCTACCAAAGGTAGAAACGCAAGTGGCACAACTGTCCAAAAAGACCATACTACCCATCTGTGAGCTATCTGGCCTTAAAAATCCAATGGACAGAAGAGCAGAGACATCCTGCAGACAAATCTTCCAAACAGCAGGGTCTCAAAGTAAAGCTGCAATTGCGGGAGTATCTGTCATGCGAGCACAAAAAAGGAAGGATTGGAAAAAGAAGCTCCTCAACTTTGACATAAGATAAGGTTGGCTAATGATTTTATGCAGGATTTATCTGAGAAAGGCCTAAAATTGTTGGCATGTTCACTGCTGGGACTTGCTTGAGGAGTCAGAAGGGCTTTATGGCTGCGTTCCTGGTGCGCTAATATGGCATCGAAGGCTTCTTTATGTGAACTACCAGCCAGTCAGCAAGCGTTTACCTCCCAGCAGCTCCTCCGTGTAAGTATCGCGCCCGGCGTGCCGCGCGAAGCGTTGCGATGGTAACACATGGCAATGCTCTGCCAGCCGTGGGTCTTGCGAGACTTGCACTGGGGAGATGGAGGAGCTGCTGGGAGGTAAGTAAACGCTTGCTACGGGCCCCCCATTACTGCCGGGTTTGTAATGAGATATCGGTATCTCAATTGGCCGATACGATATTGCCGAAAATACCGAATATCGGACGATTTATATTGGTCGATCCCCAAGTCTGACAACAGCGCGACGGTGGCATATATCAACAGTCTGGGAGGTACAAGAATCAAAGACCTGCACATTCTTTGTGGAGAGATTATGATGTGGTCCTTGAATCTATTTGAGCAGTCCACATAAAAGGCGAACAAAATGTGGTAGCAGACGACCTCAGCAGGAACAAATGGTCACAAACTAATTAGTCTCTTCACCCCCAAGTCTTCTCAGAAATTGTAAAAAGATTTGGTCTTCCAGTGATGGATCTAATGTCAAGGAGAAGGAACAGAAAAGTGCAGAAGTTTGTTTTACTGTTCAAGCAGGACAACCCACAGGTTCTGGACAGCATGTCGATAACCTGTAGTTTCAGCCTGGCATACCATTGGTTTTTCCTCCAATCCCAATGATTCGGAGAACTTTACAGAAGATCAAAGCAGACCAAGCTTAAGTGATCGCTGTCCTAACCGGCCGAACTGGCGCTGGTTCTCGGCATTGCCGAACCGGCGCTGGACTACTGGGAGCTTCCATTCTCAGATCAACTCCCGGAAAATGTTCTTCCGTAGAAAGCTAGTCACATGTTCAGATTGACGGCCTGGCTGTTGCAAGGTTAATCTTTAAAAACCAAGGCATTCCAGAAAACCTCTTTCATACAACTCTTAACTCCACCAGACCTTCTACATCTAGAATCTATTTAAGAATTTGAAACAAATTTCTCCATTAGTGCGCTCTGCATGATTGATTTCATTGCTGTCCCATCTGTCAAGACGATTTTTCAGTTTCTGCAAGAAGGCTTTGAAACTGGACTCCGTGTCTCTACTTTAAAGGTTCACACTTTTTTTTTTCTTTTTTTCTTTTTTTTTATTTGCTCCAAGAGTTTCCGTCGTGTCTACGGATTAGACGTTTCTTCAAGTTCATTATTCTTCAAAGACCTCAGACATTTCAATTCCCTTCCTGTGATTAATATCTGGTGTTAGTCTTTGTGAAGCTCCATTTGAACCACTTAAAAAGGTATCATTAAGAATTTTATGTCCCTCAAGACTATTTTTTTCTGGTAGCAATTACCTCAGCTAGGAGAATTGGGGAGATCCAAGCCCTTTCCTCTTTGCCAGAATTCACAATTTTTCATCAGGACATGACTGTGCTGCATTCTAAACCTTTTTTCCCCAAACGTTCTATCAAGAAAATCTCTGAATGAACCTCTGGTGCTGCCATCATTCTATAGTTCGGGAAGATCAGATAAAGAACGGACGTGGCATAACCTGAATGTGCGTAGAACACTTTATCCCGTACTTATCCCGTTCTGAAGAATTTAGGTCTTTGGATCACCTTTATCAGTTTAATTTTCACAGAAAAAAGAAGGGTGTGGGAGCATCTAAACCCACTCTGGCGAGGTGGTTAACAGACTCAAATTGGCCTATGAATTGCACATTGTTAAATTACCTTCCTTTATTAGAGCACACTCAGAGCCATGTCCACATCATGCGTTGAAAAAACCAACGTGCCTCCTGAAGATGTCTGCAAAGCGGCAACATGGTCCTCTTTTCATACCTTCATTAAGCACTATTAGACATCTCATCCTCTGAGGCTGCTTTTGGGTGCAAGGTGTTCAAGCAGTAGTTTGCTGAGACCCCCACCCTTTTAATTTTTCAGGGATCTTGTTATATCCCACTGGTACTGCCATTGTTAGGAAGAACAGATCTTACCGTAAATTCTTTTTTCCTTAATATAGTGGCTGTACGATTCCCTCCCTTTTTTTGATAATACATAGTTCCCAATTTTACAAACTAATTGGTTCATGGAGTGAGGGTTCATGGAGTGAGGGTTCATGGAGTGAGGGTTCATGATTTCCCATAGACTGCAATGTAATAAACATGGGTTCCGTTCCTGACCAACAAACTTTTCCATTGAAAACCTTAATTATGAAGTACAAATACAAGATGAAAGCATAGCAAATACATATATGTTGTAAGAACATTAAGACATACCATATTGAAATCTTCATCTGTTATCTTCCTCCTCAACCACATGTTGCAATTGTTGAATGTAGCACTGCACTTATTTCTGGTTTGTTTAAGACGCTCCATGTGTCTCATTCACCCCCAGCCCCTCCAGGTGTCTCATTCCCCATCCCAGTGGCTCATTATCCCTTCTAGTGTCTTATTACCCCCTCCAAGCCCTTCCAGGTATCTGCTTCCCCCTCTGTCCCATTGGCCCCTCCCAGCCCCGTCCATGTGTCCCATTGGCCCCTCCCAGCCCCGTCCATGTGTCCCATTGGCCCCTCCCAGCCCTGTCCAGTGTCCCTGTCCATGTGTCTATCCTCCCTTCCCGATTGTACCTGCCCATGTGCCTCCCCCCTCCGTTCTGTACCTGATCACCATGCTACAGTACCCGGTCTGCCAGGAAGTGCTCTCTCAGTGAACACTTCCTGGCAGACTGCAGTCAGCTCAGCCACACTAAAACAGCGGCAGGAGGGGAGCAGCTCAGCACAGCACTCCCCTCCTACCGATCTCCATCATTATTATTCCCCTTTCTCTTCTCCTGCCCACAAACTCTGCTCCTTGGTCTGCATCCACGGACCGCCGCCGGCACAAAATGTCGTTTTTTTGTTGTTTTTCATTTACTGATGGTCCTGGGGCAAGTCCAGGGTTTTAAAGGGGGGGGAAGTAGAAGGGACTATTTAAATTCTTAAATTAAGTCAGCTTGTCCATCAGAAAGATTCAAAACCCACTGGTAATGCCACTATATTAAGGGAAAAAGAATTTACAGTAAGTAAAATTTCTTTTTTCATTTTATAGGTTACAAATTATGATCTTGCAACAAAGATTCAAATGATCCAGTTATGGGCTATGGTAGGTGGAGAGGTGAGTTTTGCACTTTTCAGTGGTGGTGGTATGTTTCATTTTAATGTTTGAAGAATGTTACACTGCATAGACAGTAGTGTTTGGCAACAACTTGCCATGTTTTCAGTAATGTTATTATGGATATTCGTCAATGCTGCAGCTTTCCATAACCTTGGGATGGTTTAACGTGTGAAATAAATGCATTCGTTTTTATGACTATTGTATTGTCATTTCTCAAAGACATTTTGCTGCCAGGAAAACATACACAGCTTTGCCCTATTGCTACTCTGGATCTCTAACAAGGATTTGTGGTATTGTTTTCAAATGAGTAACTGCGTAGATTAATGCATACTTTGGTGTATTAGCACTCCACCCTCTCATCCCCCCTCCACTTTATAAAGAGAATGCATCTGTCCAGTCATATCCCACAGTCTGATTCTCTTTTGTTGGTACTCTGAGTTATACAAGTAGAAAAGCACATACTTTATGCTCATCTGCAGGGCTTCTTCTGTGTTTAAAAATATAGTGGCTTTACTACTCATACATTCTTATGTCCAACACTACACCTGCAAGTGCCCAGGAATACCAGTGAAGTTGGATCACGGGGGAACATTTACATTGTCTGCAATATGTATTTATTTAACTTTATATTTGACGCTTATGTTTGTATATTCACTTGCTTTGTTCTTGTCTTGCAGGCTGTGTCCATAAACTCACTCATTGTGGAAAGAGGCTATGCTCGCTGGCAAGACACCTATTAGCTCACCAGCTTGTAATTTGCTGGAGGAAAAAAGACTTTGTACTCTATTTATAATGAGATTGTTCTCAGACGTTTTTTTGTTTTGTTTTTATGAAATGTTTGCGTCATCCCTATTTAACTGACCTCTGAAAGTTTTTTTTTTTTTTTTTTCATTTGAGGATTTGATTGAAAGCCATACTTTAAAAAGCTTTAAAGCATTTTTTTCCATCTTGTCTTGTGTTCATATTAATATATTTGTGCACATCTTTGTAAATATATACATAAATTAATCAAATTAGAATATTTTGTATTGGAACACTGGAGGCAAAAAAGGAAGCTTAACTATGTCCACACAATCTTGTCAACGGTTTGCTTAGGAAAAAAAAACGGTTTTGTTGCACAAAACCTTATATTGTGTGTTGAAAATATTCTGTACACAAATGTGTGGTTTGGTTGGGTATGCCGTAAAGTCTAATTTTTATGGTCCTCAATTTGCTACTTGTACAGATGTAAAATAACAAAATGCAAATACAGTATTTGAGTGCTCTTTTTTTATTTCTTGACAAATGGATTTTTAATCATGTTAAAGTAATATAAATCCACTGGAAAGGTATTGTAAAATGCATATATTTTTGTTCCTGAACCTGTGGTGAGTGGGAGATAAGATGTTAAATAAAGCACTGAGATGGAAGCATTAAAATCTGAATGAAATGTCACTTCTTGTTGAAATATCTTTTTGTTCAGAGGTTTTCTGCTGCTTTGTACTGTTAGCGGTCTGACTGAAGTTCTTTACATTGCTTTCTAAATCTACACATGGCACACAATCCAATAAGCTGGACATGTGTATTGTGCACTCCTCTGAACCTGAAAGGGTTTCACTAAGGTATGGAATAGGGGAGTGAACTAGGAATGTCTAGTCACTTGACCCTTTTATTCACTGTTACAAGTCTGTCCCACTTGACCTTCTGTGACATGAGGTGATCAAGGCACAAATGTATTTTGCAGAATGCTGCACCAGACGCTTTTCTTTCTCCTTGCTCACAAACCATGCCAGAGAAACTTCCTTAGGGCAGTGTATGTACATAGCTCAGTCCCCAACAGCTCTGTGTGAGCTGCTTGAAGAGGGATTGCATTGATGGGTATTGGCCTCATATCCTGCATTATTTTTGCATGCTCAAATCCATATAATTTTTGCACACTAAATGTTTTGCAGAATGCTGCACCATATGTCCGCCTCCCTAATGCCTTACTCACAAATTTCCCTATCAAAGGTATGTAGAGGGTCAGACTACAAATGAGTAATACTGGTACAGTCCTTTAATATTTCTCTATTGGTATCTACTCCTTTTAATGCATATTGCTTTGTATGTCAGTGGCAGAGATGTGTGTATACATTTGAAAAGTATGACTTTTTCTTGAGTAAGATGGCAGGGTTAAAGGTGACATGCTTATAGTGCAGCATTCTGCTAAACCGGAAAAGAGTGGGTCAGTGGCACTTTTTGGTGTGTCTAGATTGTCATGCTTTGTATTTGGTTATTCCCTCCCCCTCCACACAGAAGACAATACAACACCATAGTTCAGGCATAGGCAATGTTTGGTGCTCCAGATGTTTTGAACTACACCTCCAATTGATGCTTTGCAAGCATTATGGGTGCAGGTCCAAAACTTGTAGAGTGCCAAAGGTTGCCTACCCATGCCATTGTTAAATCCACGATCATTTGGACAGGAAGTCCACCAGAAAATCTAATTAAAAGATGAGACTCCTCCCCTTAGGTCTAAAATTCCCACACAATAAAGAAGCACCAGTTCTCAGTCCTCAGCAGAAAAGGTTTGCCAGGTTATTTTTGTTCCTGAGCTGTCATTTGAGTTGTCTGGAAGGGATTTCTGTTTGGTTCTATGAAACTGTGGAATGCATGCTCAGCACATATATTCCAAGCCTGGATTACTTCCCCCAGTAGGTGCAGGAAATGGTGAGCTTTTGTGGTGGCACACTGATGGGCATGTTTGGAACTCAAATTCGAGTCTAGTTGGATTACACTCTATTGCAGGGGGTTTGCCTGCTGGCTGGTTTAAAACAAAACACCCTTTGTGATGCTTTTGGCTTGCATCCCTGCTCTTTTGTTAAAAGGCTTCTCCAATCCTTTTTATTTATTTTTTATTAGAATAATGCCCTATTGGCATTATTCTTTAGGTCCCCACTCCAAAAGAAATGCTCAAAGCATTAAGCAAGAAGTTTTAGTTACATTAAACGTCTGATGCTGAAGAGCATGCCCCTGTCTGACATCACAGGAGCAGAGTGGAGGTCCAGTCAAATGCTCTTTTACCTGCCCTCACTCTTCTCCATTCTTTCCCTATCAGTGACGGTAGGGGATAGGGAGGAATTGAAGGGCAGATGTGTAAAGAAAATATTAGCAGAGGGGATACAGAGAGCTACAGGGGACAAGCAGAGTACTGATGGCAAATGTAAAATATGCACAGAATTAACATTAAGCAGTCTGGCGTTCTGTGCTGTCAATGTGACTTGTGCTGGTGGTGTAACTAGCCCACAGCATACAAAATTAACTCTGGATGTGCAGTGTAGCAAGATGGAACACTGTGCCTCCAGACTCCTACCACCATAACCACAAAAAAAGCGCAAATGGTAATTGGAGTAACTCTTTAAAGGTCACTAGTACCAGAGAACAATGCAGCCAGAAAACAGGTCCTAAAATTCTGCTATTGGGAGTCCTAACAGAATCAGACATCGTAGATCTTCCTGGTTTCCATATTACTCTCAGGCACCTGGGAAGGTTGTGTTTGCAGGGGGTTGCTGTTCTGCTTCAACTGAGTTCATCTCTAAAAAAAAAAAAAAAACAACCGGTAGGTTGTCGCAGCTTGTTCAGAGGCACAGTCAACATTTGGGGATTTTTGCAGGATGGTGATATTGTGGCCAGGGTGTGCGCAGGGAAAGCTCCGTTCTTCTTACCTGACCCTGTAGCTGGGAGGTGCCGCCATAATCTTCCGAAGGGTACTCTTGAGGCTATTGGCTCTTCAATACCAGGAGCTGACGTCCCTGCTGTGCGCTCAGGCATCAGTGAGCATGGTTCCCAAGTATTAGAGTGTGAACTAATGATTATTTATAAAGCGCCAACAAATTTATTTGCAACAAGACGAGCTAGACACATAGGAACAGAAGTTGTTGAAAGCTCTGCTCAAACAAGCTGACATTCTAGAGGGTTTGGTACCAGAGGTAAAGGAAGTGTGTATTTCATGTGTACGAAAAGTAGGTTGCTAGGTGAGTGAAGGGTTAGTTAATAACAGTTTCATTGATATGCTTTCCTGAATAAGTGAGTTTTTAATGATCCTTTTGAATGAATGGAGACTGGGTGTCTAACGGTGCAATCATAGAGAAGGCAGAGAGTAGGGGCCTAGATGAGACATACTTGTCTATTAGTGAGGATAGATAGGCAAAGCTTAATGTACAGATTTGTAGGCAAGTACAAGTTTTAAATTAAGCCCTATATATTATGGGAATCCAATGTAAAGACTAACAGAGGGTTGAGGCGTGGAAGGAGCAGGCAGACAGGAAAATGGGCTTTGCTGCTGCATTCATTATAAACTTTAACAGGGCAAGTTGGGAAACACATAAGACCACTGAGAAACATATTGCAGCATAGGTGGTTATAGCAGTGTAATCATTTTCGTTTGTGTATTTTTGTCCAGTTGATTGATATATACATCTTTGTGTGTATGTATATTTTTTAATTTATTTTCTTGGGTTAAAGGTTCGCGACGATATGTCTATATTAATGAAAAGTACTAATATGCAATCTGATTTACGGTTTATTCTTAGTTACTGATACATAATTAAACAAAGGATGTTACATGATCATGGATGTTCAACAGCAGATGCTAATTGCTGGTCTCCCGAACCGAGAGATACATTGTTGCATCGCTGTCTGAGAGCGACCTTGTTTCCCTTTGTTCAGTTATTATATAGATGTGCCCATACTGACGTCAGAGTATAACTATCCATATAAGGACAAGACCCCCAATCCACATTCCAGAGTTCCCATACCAGAAATACTTGTGACTTATTGATACCATCTGTTACTTATGTCAATCCAGACATCCATAAAGAATCTATAGAACCATAGAATATGCAATATTCTACATTCCCTCTGTTTATGGTTTGTCTTAAAACCATAACACAATGTCACTAACCTGTCCATTCATACATTGCTATAATATTCCTAATACAGACACAAATAACAAAGTATTTTCATTCTCAAAAACTGATATTACTAATACATGTTATTATATCTGTCCACTTATATTTCCATGAATCATATGGTTTCTAGTGAACTTAAAAATCTTTAGGTCATTTGTATTCATGAATTACATTCCTATACCATTAATACCACCTAGTTGTGATTGTATCAGTACTTTACAAGTATTTGTATATTCAGTAGGCTCTCACTACCTGAAATATATCAACACTACTTATAAGTCTCATAATATTCTTTCAAACATTCAAAGGATGTATTATCAACCATGAAGTTCTATAATAATTCTTCAAATAATGTTCATGGTGTTGACAATACTTATTGCTCTAGAAATTCTCCACCCAGAAATCTTTCTATCATAGATTTGTTTTTGTTGACATAATTTTCACTAAAATTCCACCTTGTAGTAACAAGCTTTTCATTCAATAGAAACATGGTTTATTTTAAAAGAAGTTGGAAAGAATAATTAAAATTCCCTATCATCACTCTCTTCATTAGCATTTATCTATACTTATTTACCTTAATTGTGATGACTTATTAATGTAATACATCTTAACATAAAAATAGGATTGTCCTAATGTTACCTAAATATTTGTTTTGACCAATCTGTATTCCTTAGTACACTTCAACTGACTAAACTAAAATAAAATTAACATTGGGTCATATTGCCCAGAAACGTATTCCTAGTCCTTGTCTTACAAACTCAGGGTAATCATCAAATAACTTATTCATTGGAGACCATCATATCAAGAAACCTATTCTCCCTAGTCCATACCTTTATAGACTTAGGTCAAATATAATTGTGTACTGTAATGTTAACTAAACTTCAATTCAACTCCTCTTGGATCTCTGAACTCTTATTAAAGGGACACTATAGTCACCCAGACCACTTCAGCTCAATGAAGTGGTCTTGGTGCCAGGTCCTTCAGGTTTTAATCCTTCACATGTAAACATAGCAGTTTCAGAGCAGAGTTTACATAGCAGGGTTAATCCAACCTCTAGTGGCTGTTTTTCTGACGGCCGCTAGAGGCGCTTCTGCGACGCTGGATGCAAAATTTGCATCCAGTGTGCAGAACGTCCATTGGAAAGCATTGAAAAAGCATTTGCCAGGCATGCGCATTCCGCTCCACTCCGGCACTGGATTAAGGTAAACTGCTGAAGGGTTTTCCTGACACTATAGTTATCCTTTAAGTAATTATATACATTAAAAATCCTTTGGATATATTAATCAATATGTTATCCTTCCTTAGTTTTATTCCTTTAGTTACCATTGTTTGTTTTACTTCACCTTGATATAAACAAATTACTCATTCTTGTGAATCTATGAAATACTATTGAACCCAATCTTTAAGGTATTAAGTATACATGATCCTTATTTTATCAACTTCATATTTTATCTACCACTGATACTTCTCATCCTATGTATCGGTCATAATATAATAGTTCTCTTCATAATACTATGCTTTCATATTTTTTCTCTCTCTTGGTATCGATATACTCATAACTGATAACTTTTCATTGTCTGTTTTCTTTTCCGTTAATATTTAGGAATTGATATGTATGTTAGTGTCAATCTTTTATTTATTTTTAAGTCTATTACTCTTCTGTAT